CGTTTTGGGCATGAAAACAGGGCGGATGACTTGGATCGGAGATTGTGCGTTCTAGTCCTGTCTTGGACACAAAAGCCAATCACCAGGAGTCTGGGAGTTTTAGTCCCACCTTAGGCATGAAAGTTGTCTGGGTGATTTTGGGCCAATCACCAGGAGTCTGGGAGTTATAGTTCCACCTTAGGCTTGAAAGTTGTCTGGGTGATTTTGGGCCAATCACCAGGAGTCTGGGAGTTCTAGTTCTGTTTTAGGCATGAAAGCCAGCTGGATGACTTTGGGCCATTCATCCGGAGTCTGGGTGTTCTAGTTCCGCCTTAGGCATGAAAGTTGTCTGGGTGATTTTGGGCCAATCACCAGGAGTCTGTGAGTTCTAGTCCCGCCTTAGACATGAAAGCCAGCTGGGTGACTTTGGGCCAATCATCCGGAGATTGTGAGTTCTAGTTCCTCCTTAGGCATGAAAGCTGTCTGGGTGAATTTGAGCCAATCACCAGGAGTCTGGGAGTTCTAGTTCTGTTTTAGGCATGAAAGCCAGCTGGGTAACTTTGGGCCAATCACCAGGAGATTGTGAGTTCTAGTTCCTCCTTAGGCATGAAAGCTGTCTGGGTGACTTTGAGCCAGTCCCTCTCTCATAGCCCAAAATATTTGTACGGAGGAACAACCAATTCCCCCAAATAATGCCCAATGCTCTTTCTCCCATTTCTGGCAAAACCCGCAAATTACCTACCCCAAAAAAGCATTTGGCAATTTCTTTCCTCCCCCACCCTCCCCTGCCAGAGAGAAAAAAACCATCACGTCCACCTGGATCTGATTTGCAGAAATGCAATGGAGTAAGGTTTTGTTTTTTTTCCCCTCCCAGCTTGACGGATTTGATTGGGATAATTATAACACCATGAGAGCTTTTGGCCTTGCTAAAAATAGGAGGAGCAAAGGAGGACTCCGTGGACTGACAAACAAGCCGGAATGGTAATTTTTGCAGCAGACAAAACAAGCTTGAAAAATGTATGTGTGTCAGAGGGGGGGGGGCAGCTCTAAATTCAGCCCTGCCTCAAGGTCGCTTTTTGGGGTGAGGTGGAATTTAAATACATAATTTTATTCTATTTATTTAAAACATTTTGCACCAGGAACATATATATACAGAGAGAGAGAAAGAGAAAGAGAGGGAGGGAGGGAGGGAGATAAATATATATATATATATATATATATATATATATATATATATGTGTGTGTGTGTGTGTGTGTGTGTGTGTGTGTGTGTGTGTGTGTGTGTTTTCTGAGGTGTTTGTATGTAGGTCTTTGGTTATTCGGGTTTTCTCCCGCGTAAAATTGGAAGTGTCTTGGCGACGTTTCGACGAAGTCTCATTCGTCATCTTCTCCTAGAAGCACGAAGCCGAAAACACCAGCCTGAAGATGACGAATGAGACTTCGTCAAAACGTTGCCAAGACACTTCCAATTTTACACGGGAGAAAACCCGAATAACCAAAGACCTATAGCTAGCTAGCTAGCTAGCTAGCTAGATAGATGATAGAAAGATGATAGATAGATAGAAAGATAGATCGATAGATGATAGATAGATGATGGATGATGGATGATAGATGAAAGATAGATAGAAAGATGGATAGATGATAGAGAAATGATAGATAGATAGATAGATAGATAGATAGATAGATAGATATAGATATAGAGAGACAGAGATAGAGATAGAGATATATAAATATAGCTAGATATATATATATATATATAAGATATATAGAGAAATAGATAGATAGAGATAAAGATAGATAGATAGATAGATAGATAGATAGATAGATAGATAGATAGATAGATAGATAGATAGACATATAGACATATAGATAGATGGCATTTCACATCAAGGACTGACTTTCTGGATTGTACACAGCAGTTTCCTCCCTGCCGACATAACCATTACCCGCTGTGGAAGATAGAAGCTGTAGTCCAACTGGAAAAACCAGCCTAGAGAAGAACTGCAGAAACACAGAATACAGGTAGTCCTCGATTTACGACCTACAACCTCTTCCGACAAAAAAATGCTTTTAAAAGTAAAAAAAAAAAAAGCCTCTGATGATCGTGCGGCTCAGCTGGGATCGTCAGAGGCTTTTCAAAGCATTTTTTTCTGCAACCTCTTGGCTGAAGAGGTGGTAAAAAAAATACTTTGAAAAGTCTCTGACGATCCCAGCTGAGTTGCCTGATGGTCAGAGAGGCTTTTCAAAGCATTAGAAAAAATGCTTATGAAAAGTTAAAAAAAAAAAAAAGTTGGCCACGCCCACCCAGTCACATTACCCCCACCCCACCACCACCAAGCCACGCCCACAGAACCGGTAGTAACAAATTTTACATTTCACCCCTGAGGAAGACGGCTTATCACGTCACCCGCTAATCCTTCTCTTCGTTAGCATAGTCTAACGAATATTCAAACACGCAAGGCCCAGGATGGCCCAGATGAAACCAAGCCATGATCAGCAGAGTTTCATTGAAGCAACATTCCCCCCCCCAAAAAAAACACAGTTTGGTGGTTTCGTCGGCCAAACAATGTCGACTGGCGGCCCCCAGGGGGAGAGCCTTCTCTGTGGGGGCACCTACTATCTGGAACGAGCTCCCCCCGGAGATACGGAGGATCCCGGATCTGCGCACTTTCCGCCGCGCTCTAAAGACCTTTTTATTTCACCAGGCAGGCCTGGCCTAACTTTCTCCCTCTTTTTAAACATTTTTAATATTTTTAATATTTTTTATTATTTTTAATATTCAAAGTTTAAATTTGTTTTAAATTGATTGGGTTTTAAATCTGTCTGGGCCAACTATTTAATTTGATTTCATCTCTGCTTTTTAAATTTTGTATGTATGTATTTTATTGTTGGCTGTTCACCGCTTTGAGTCCTTCGGGAGTAGGGCGGTATATAAATCAAATAAAAGTAAAAGTAAAGTTAAAAGAAAAACAAAACTCCAGAAACTTCTAAGTGTAAACTGCCCCCCCCCCAGTATTACCGTGAATGAAAAATGAATCACGCTTGCGCTAAGATTTATGGGCTGCAAGATCTTCCTTTAATTGCTTTTTTTTTTTTAATGGGGAGGAGGGTGAGAGACAAATCTTACCAACGCCTATCGAACTATAGTAATGACTAAGGGATTTAAGAAGTCGAGAATAATACACCGAAGAGCCGAAATCGCTCTACGTAACCAATACAAATGAACTTGCAAAGAAAGAAGAGCATCGCTTAAGGAAACGCAGCCGAATGGCTGTTTTATTTGGCGATTGTCTATACCGTTCCCCGGGAATTTATAAATAAATCAGATCACTCGATCTGAAGATGATCTTCGCTCAACAGATGGATTTGAGTTATTTTCACCTCTCTACCCCCAGCCAGAATTCTTGCTATGTTACCAGCAGGAGATCATTAAAAGAGGGACTCCGATAGGTAGCATTTATCTACTTTTGCTTTTCGAGACGGATTCGTCTTTTTTATTGGCTGTTTTGGACCAATAGAGCCCAATTCATATATTTTTTTTAATTTAAAAAAAAATGCAGTTACCAACCGCAGGGAACGGAGTGTGTGAGTGTGCTTCTGTGTGTGTGTAATTCTGCAACTGCAGCTGACAAGAAGAGGAAATTAAATTTTTTTTCATCCCCGGTCTTTGGGAATGAGAAAAGCAACTCTCTTTTTTTGTTTTTGTTTTTTAAAAACCCTTTTAAAGTTGTCGTTTTTCTTTCTTTCCTCGTGGAAACAGCTGCAGATTTAAAAAGTGGCTGACTAGGTTCAAATTTGAGTTTTGCTCTTCGGGAGTTGGGTTGAAAGCTGGGAATCCATAGCAACAAAGAGTCAAATAATTTGGGGGTGGGGTGGGGGGGTTGGTGCTTAATTCTAGATAGGGCTTCATATGATGTTCTAGATATCCCTAATTGCAGTGGTGGGTTTCAAATTTTTTTACTACCGGTTCTGTGGGTGTGGCTTGGTGGGCGAGGCTTGGTGGGCATGGCAGGGGAAGGATACTATAAAATATCCTTTTACAGATCCTTGGTGGAGATCCTTAGAGCCTTGGTGGCGCAGCAGACTAAGTGCTGTTAACTAGCACCAGCTGCCTGCAATTACTGCAAGTTCAAATCTCACCAGGCTCAAGGTTGACTCAGCCTTCCATCCTTTCGAGGTAGGTAAAATGAGGACCCAGATTGTGGGGGCAATAAGCTGACTTTGTATAAAAAAGAACACCGCTTGGGGGGGGGCAAAAGCCCTACTAAGCAGGTATATACAAAAGTATGAAGGCTATTGCTTAACGCACTGTAAGCCACCCTGAGTCTCCAGAGAAGGGCGGCATATAAATCGAACCAATCAATCAATCAATCAATCAATCAATCAATCAATCAATCTCCATTCCCTCTCTACTCCAGGGGAAGGTAAAATTCCCATTTCCTCCCGATCAGCTCGGACTCCCGATCAGCTAGGACTCGGGAGGCAGAGAATAGATGGGGGCGGGGCCAGTCAGAATTTTTACTACCGGTTCTCCAAACTACTCAGAAGTTCCGCTACCGGTTCTCCAGAACTGGTCAGAACTTGCTGAAACCCACCTCTGCCTAATTTGAGTATCTGCGTATCCATGTAGAGATGCAGAGGAAATTACCCCAAACAATGCAGATATTCATTGTTTATTACCATAACCTCAACTGTGCACTGCCATTCAGACAGATTTATTTTATTTAATGCATGATGTGCATGCAATTTTGATGCATAGAAATTATTAAGAATTTTTTTTAAAAAGAGGATAAAAAGCAATGGGAACTAAGATAGATGATAGATAGATAGATAGATAGATAGATAGATAGATAGATAGATAGATAGATGATGGATGGATGGACACAGATAGAAAGAAAGAAAGGGAGAGAGGGAAGGAAGGAAGGAAGGGATGGAGGGAAGGAGGAATGGAAGGAAGGAAGAAAAGATCAAAGAAATGACTAAAAGTGGAAAAGCAAAGAGAGGACAAAAATATATAGAAATAATTTCCAATTTTCTTTAATACACCTGTTATAAAAACAATTCTAAATGAACCCCTGGCTTTGTGGGCTACAGCATAACTATTTTTTCCTATAATCTATCCCTTCTGATCATCCCAACCACAAATCATAAGTTCAATTTCTTATGCTTCATGCAAACAAAATAATAATAATAATAATCTATAAAGTGTTTCCGGTCAACAATAAAGGTTAGATTGATTGTATATTTAGGATTTTTTTCAACTTGAGCTTCTGTAATGTGTTTGAGTTCAAGTTCCCATAGTCCTTTGGTAATGACTGGTAAGGCATTATGGGAACAGAAGTCCCATGCTCCTGGAAGCTGTCAGGCTGTAGACATCTACTACCGGTATATGCATTTTGACTCTGAAGGAGAACAAACTCTACAAAATCACAACAGTAATAACTTCTTTTGTTCGGTGTGTTACTTGTAATCCTGACAATAACATTAACATGAATGAAGACAAACCAGATGATTAAGATGAAGAAAAGCTGGTTGACCACGATGGTTGGAGACTCACGGTTGTTTGGTACAAGAACATTCATGAAGTCTCAAAACAAGGTTCTGATAGACCTTCCTTTCTTTCTCCCACGAATGGTGCTTCAGGACATATTCATGTGCCTTTCTTACAATCTCTCGGTACAGAACTGGGTCCTTCACCAAAGTTTTGGCCAGCTGGACAAATTCCTGAAAAGGAAGGGTAGGGAGTGGGCCATTATTAGTAGTGTTCTATGACGAATTTATTTATTATTTATTTATTTATTATATTTCTATACCGCCTTTCTCCCATAGGACTCAAGGCAGTATACAGTCAAGAAAAATATAGATACACAAACATCATAAAATTGCTCATTAAAATTATTATTATAACATAGTTTGGCCCAATTAAATAGAACCTAAAATTAGATAACATTTTAAAATCATTCACATGTTCATATGTTTAGCCCCGCCTGTTGGAACATCAGGGTCTTGAGGGCACGGCGGAAAGCACGGAGATCAGGGATGTTCCGTATCTCCGGGGGCAGTTCATTCCAAAGGGTTGGAGCCCCCACAGAGAAGGCCCTCCCCCTGGGAGTCGCCAGTCGGCATAATTTGACTGACGGTACCCTGAGTAGTCCCTCCCTGTGAGAACGAACTGGTCAGTGGGAGGCGATTGGTGGCAAAAGACGGTCTCGTAGGTACCCAGGTCCTAAGCCATGGAGCGCTTTAAAGGTGATAACTAACATCTTGAATCGCACCCGGAAGACCACCGGGAGCCAGTGCAGCTCGCATAGGAGAGGTGTTACATGGGTGCAACGAGCTGCGCCCATAATCACCCCCGCGGCTACATTCTGGACCAGTTGGAGCCTCCGGGTGCTTTTCAAGGGGAGCCCCATGTAGAGAGCATTACAGTAGTCCATACGAATAATGGCAGTACTTCTCAGAAGTTCCTAAGAAAGCTCTCTGCCCTGTTTTCAAGGGTACACCAGATTAGGAAGCAGATGCCAGACTCATGTTCTACCAGAAGATTGCCCAAGATGGTTTTCCAAAACCCAAAATAAGAGTTCAACGTGTTGGATCCTTGATGTTCTCTGAGATTAGTGGTTTTCTTCCTGACCCAACTAGTTAACATCATCAGGTAACAACACTGGTAATGTTCCCTAGTTGGATCATGACATATTGGCAGGAAAACAACCAAGCTCAGAGAGCATCAAGGACCTCACAGTCTTTCTCCTCTTCCTCTCCTTTGTCCTCCTCTTCCTCCTCCTCTAATCCCTAAAGCCCACTCCCTTCAGGATGTAACCAAGTTGGGTCATGAACATCTGCAGGAGAACAAACCAGCTCAGAGAGGACCAATATTCCCCTCTATTGGTGTTATTATTTCTTCCATTTCTTCTGGCTGATGACAGAATGGAGGAAAGGAAGCAAAGAGACCAAAGTCTCTGTCTGTCTGTCTTCTCTCTCTCTCTTTCTCTCTCCTTTTCTCTCTCATTTGGTCATTCTCTTTCTTTTTCTCTCTCCTCTTTCTTTCTCTTCTCCCTCTCTCTCTCCTCTTTCTCTCTCCTCTCTCTCATTCTTTCTTTCTCCTTTTCTCTCTTTCTCTCCTTCTTTCTCTCTCCTTTTCTATCTCATTCTTTCTTTCCTTTTCTCTCTCTTTCTTTCTCTTCTCCCCCCCTCTCTCTCCTCTCTCCTTTTCTCTCTCCTCTTTCTCTTTCTCTCCTTCTTTCTCTCTCCTTTTCTCTCTCATTCCCATTCTTTCCTTTTCTCTCTCCTCTTTCTTTCTCTTCTCCCCCCCTCTCTCTCCTCTCTCATTCTCTTTCTCCTTTTCTCTCTCCTCTTTCTTTCTCTCCTTCTTTCTCTCTCCTTTTCTCTCTCCTCTTTCTTTCTCTTCTCCCTCTCTCCTTCTCTTTCTCTTCTCCTTTTCTCTCTCTCATTCTCTCGTTCTCGTTCTCCTTTTCTCTCTCTCCTTCTCTTTCTCTCTCATTCTCTCGTTCTCTTTCTCCTTTTCTCTCTCCTCTTTCTCTCTTTCTCTCCTTCTCCTTCTCTTTCTCTCTCCTTCTTTCTCGTTCTCCTTTTCTCTCTCCTTCTCTTTCTCTCTCCTTTTCTCTCTCATTCTCTTTCTTGTTCTCCTTTTTTTCTCTCCTCTTTCTTTGTCTTCTCTCTTCTTCTCTTTCTCTCTCCTTTTCTCTCTTGTTCTCTATCTCCTTTTCTCTCTCCTCTTTCTTTCTCTCTCTCTCTCTTTCTCTCTCCTTTTCTCTCTCTCATTCTCTCTCATTCTCTTTCTCTCTCTCTCTCTCTCTCAAAAGAGAATTCTTAGCTGTTAATAGTGGATCTTGGCGGGAGGGGGCATTGATCATACCCACCCTGTCTAAAATTCTCAAAAGGTTCTTGAACCTCACCATCTTACCCAATGTCAACTTTGATCACAAGACAGATCAGGAGCAACACAACTCCCAAGACAATTTGCAAAAAAAAAACCAAACCCAAAACAATTCAAAACTTGAAGTGAGATATTGTTTTCTCTCTTCATCCCTGGGACCCCATGGCCACCTTAAAAACAACATAATAATGTTCAGAATCAAGAGAAACCTGCTGTAACTTATAGCAAAAAGATTCATTCTTGAACCCTGCGGAAAACAACTGGCTTCGGGGAAGAACAGGTTAAGCGCAACATTTTCCTCCAATTTGTTTTCCAGAAGGGGTGTAGTTACATCAAAGACTAATGAAAAAGGAACATCTAACTTCCGACTATACTTAACAGCATTCATCATGCTTAAAAAAAAAAAAAGGCTTAAGGAGAAAATGTATTTTCCACTTGGTGGTTTTATTTAATCTCGGTCCGCATTTTTATTCTTTAAAAGAGTAGCGTTATTGCACGTACCTGATTATTGATGGAGAACTGAAATCTAATTTATGGGATCAACAGGATTAATTCCCCCGTAATACCTCCCTCCCCCCCCAGACCCTCCTTTCTGAGTTTTAATAACACACTCTGGTTAATTAGGAGATGGGGTGAACCTTCACGGCAGCGTACATACAGAGGACTTAAAATCTCAGTGGTTAGGCACTTTCACAGCTGTGACCCAGGTGCCACAAATGGTTCGGAAAGCTTAACACAAATAAGATCAAGGTTTTCATTATGGTAGTGGAGCTATAAATTATCTGGGAGGTGACACATCCTGCGGGCTCCCCAGGGGCGGGAGGAGAGGCAGTATTAGGTCCCAATTGAAAGCTTAACCTCCAAGTCGGCTTTCAGCACCGTGAGTCATGGACAGCTCCCAATATGAAATTATTTCATTCACAAGACAACTGAGATAGAATAGATAGGAGAGAGACGGGGGGGGGATAGATGATTACATAGATAGATAGATAGATAGATAGATAGATAGATGTACAGATAGACAGATAGATGAGAGAGAGAGATACACAGATAGTGATAGAGATATACAGATAAATGATACAGATAGATAGATTAGGTAGGTAGGTAAATAGATGATAGGTAGGTAGGTAGATGACAGATAGGAGAGAGAGTTGGATAGATGATAGATAGATAAGTAGGTAGGTAGGTAGATGATAAATAGGAGAGAGAGAGAGATGGATAGATGATTAGATAGGTAGGTAGGTAGGTAGATAGAGAGAGAGAGATGGATAGATGATAGATAGTTGATTAGATAGATAGATAGGTAGGTAGATAGGTATGTAGGTAGGTAGGTAGATGATAGATAGGAGAGAGATGGAGAGATGATAGATAGATGATTAGGTAGGTAGGTAGGTAGGTAGGTAGGTAGGTAGGTAGGTAGGTAGATGATAGATAGGAGAGAGAGATGGATAGATGATAGATAGATGATTAGATAGATAGATACATAGGTAGGTAGATGATAGAGTGAGATGTATAGCTGATATAGATGATTAGATAGATAGATAAGTAGGTAGGTAGGTAGGTAGCTGATAGAGATGGATAGATGATAGATGATTAGATAGATAGATAGATAGATAGATAGATAGATAGATAGATAGATAGATAAGTAGGTAGGTAGGTAAATGATAGATAGCAGAGAGAGAGAGATGGATAAATGATAGATGATTAGATAGACAGATAGATAGATAAGTAGGTAGGTAGGTAGGTAGCTGATAGAGATGGATAGATGATTAGATAGATAGATAGATAGACAGATAGATAGATAGATAGATAGATAAGTAGGTAGGTAGGTAGGTAGGTAGATGATAGATAGCAGAGAGAGAGATGGATAGATGATAGATAGATGATTAGATAGATAGATACATAGGTAGGTAGATGATAGGAGAGAGAGTGAGATGTATAGATGATAGATAGATGATTAGATAGATAGATAGATAGATAGATAGATAGATAGATAGATAGATGATAGATAGATAGATAGATAGATAGATAGATATAGATAGATAAATAGGTAGGTAGGTAGGTAGATAATAGGAGAGAGAGAGAGAGTCTAGATGATAGATAGATGATTAGATAGATAGATAGATAGATAGACAGATAGATAGATAGATAGATACAGATAGATGATAGAGATAGAAAGACAGATAGACAGACCTACCTAGGTCTCAGCATGTTTTAACTTAATTATTACCTGGGGGGTCATATATAATAGTCCAGTTGTTTGGTGTACAATTATAGCAGCGTTTCCTGGAATATTCCTTGCCAGCACGGGGACATTTAAATCCATCGCCTGTAACACAGAAAAGACAGGGCTCACATTTGGTACAACTGAGACCTTGCAGATAAGTCTGATGTGGGTTCAATTAGTAGCGTGCTTGTTAAGTGAACCTTAAGCTTCCCCATGGATTTTGCTTGTCAGGAAGTCAACAAAAAGGGGATCGCATGACCCTGGGACAAATCACAAATAAGAGCCAGTTGCCAAAGCGTTAGAATTTTGATCACTTGACCATGGGGATGCTGTAGGTCGTAAGGGTGGGTGGGGGGAAAAAACGGTCATAAATCAGTGCTGTTGTAACTTCGGTTACTAAATGAACTGTTGGAAGTCAAGGACTACCTGTATTAGGATCTCTTGAGAGAGGGGAGCTGAAATTATCAGCTCTTTTGGGGTGAGAGATTGTTTTCAGAGAAAAAAGGTACCTTAATCCAAAAAGATTAACTCATTAATTTAATCAACCTTCGGAAGTTGTGGGAGCTTCATCCCTGGAAGCTTTCAAGAAGAGACTGGGCTGCCATCTGTCAGAAATGGTGGAGGGTCTCCTGCTTGGGCAGGGGGTTGGACTAGATGACCTACAAGGTCCCTCCCAACTCTGTTATTCTATATTCAATGAAACAAGTTGCCTTCAGAAGTTGTGGGAGCTTCATCCCTGGAAACTTTCAAGAAGAGACTGGGCTGCCATCTGTCAGAAATGGGGTTGGACTAGATGACCTCCAAGATCCCTTCCAACTGTGTTAATCTGTATCTGTATCCAACTCATCTGTTAAAATTTCATATATGCACGCCCACATCCTGCTACTACATCAGCAGGAACTATGGTGGCAGATGGTGAAGGCAGGAGGCGAATGCTTGGCTTTGTACCAACCAAGCCTACCTGAATGGATTATGCAGTACGCAATTACTGCCCTAAATGCCTGGGCCTTTTAAGGCTGTTGTCCTTTCCTTGAGCAAGGTGACTGTGTGATTAAAAACACCTGTGATTTGGATGCACTAGAATGTGACAGCTGACAAGGTGTTCACCCTTTTCAGAAGGGTGTACTGATATTTTTCTCCTCCTTGTTCCTTCCACTCTTGAGCAAATATTAAATCCCGGGGCCAAATTATAAAGACGGAACTCTTCTAATTCTGCAAAATTTATCAGATGTGGTGGAATGTAGTCTGGATTCCCAGGAGGGAGGGGCTGCCTTGTGGAGGACTAAGAGACGGCCAAGTTTAGAGAGTTTGGTTGGGAGGAAGAGAGTTAAGAGGGCTCTTCTCTAGAAGTTCTCAGAGCATATGTTCCAATATTGGAGGGGCTGCCACAGAGAGGAAGGGGTTTAGCTATTTCCCAAAGCACCTGAAGGCCAGACAAAGAATAATGGATGGAAACTGATCAAGGAAAGATTCAACCTGGAAATAAGGAGGAATTTTTTGACAGTGAGAGCCATCAACTGAGCCTTCGGAAGTTGTGGGAGCTTCATCATTGGTGGCTTTCAAGAAGAGACTGGACTGCCATCTGTCAGAAATGCTGCTTGGGCGGGGGGTTGGACTAGATGACCTACAAGGTCCCTTCCAACTCTGTTAACCTGTTAATCCTATCTTTAATGGTGGGAAGAATCGCTTTAGTCTGGCAAGATTCTGTCTGAAGGTGAAGAACATAAAGGAAACTGCTCAGCAGAAACTCTACGTGTTTCTTGGTTCTTGAGTCCTGACATTTGTTCACCACAATGTAAAGTCACAACTGCCAATTCTTTAACTGATGTTGGCCTCCATACACATCAAGTTCTTCCCAAGAATCTAGGGTGCTGTTATTATTATCAGAAATGCTTCTTTCTCTCCAATGGGCTTTAGCAATAGCACTTAAGACTTATATACCGCTTCATAGTGCTTTTACAGCCCTCTCTAAGCGGTTTACAGAGTCAGCCTGTTGCCCCAACAATCTGGCTCCTCATTTTACCCACCTCGAAAGGATGGAAAGGTGAGTCAACCTTGAGCCAGTCAGGATCGAACTGCTGGCAGTCGGCAGAGTTAACCTGCAATACTGCATTCTAACACTGCATAGAAGGAAGGGAGGGAGGGAGGGAGGGAGGGAGGGAGGGAGGCTGAGTCAACCTTGAGCCGGTGAATTCGAACTGCTGAACTGCAACTAGCAGTCAGCTTAAGTAGCCTTCAGTACTGCACTCTAACCACTGTGCCAGCACTCTTTGTAAAAGTAAAGGTTTCCCGCGCACATATGTGCTAGTCGTTCCCGACTCTAGGGGGCGGTGCTCATCTCCGTTCCAAAGCCAAAGAGCCAGCACTGTCCGAAGACGTCTCCGTGGTCATGTGGCCAGCATGACTCAACGCCAAAGACGCACAGAACGCTGTTTCCTTCCCACCAAAGGTGGTCCCTATTTTTTTCTACTTGCATTTTTTTACGTGCTTTCGAACTGCTAGGTTGGCAGAAGCTGGGACAAGTCACGGGAGCTCACCCCGTTACGCGGCACTCGGGATTCGAACCGCTGAACTGCCGACCTTTCGATCGACAAGCTCAGCGTCTTAGCCACTGAGCCACCGCGTCCCACTCTTTTACATTTAGATAAATCCATTCTCTAGAAGCTGGATAAATATGGCCTGAAATATCCTATATTCTCTCTTCCTTCTTTTTAATCAAAAGGGTTCAAAGGAGCACTTACTTATTTTTCTTCATCCAGACTCCCCCTGGTCTGCAGTTCCATTTACATCCTTCCAGATCAAACTGCAGACTTGGTTAACGAAACGGGCATTTGACAGATGGCGTTTCTGAGTTTGGCCAGGTAGGAGGAGAACCAGGTCTAATTAAAAGAGCCCCTGCCTTCACTGGATGCTTTCTTTGGTCTTTCTGAAGAGATACGGCTGCTTTATTGTCCCAGTCAACCAGATTGTCTAAGAGAAACTGGGCAAAATTAAAACGAAGGCAGACCTATAAAGAAACAGGCTACCCTGATGTCCCTCCACTTAGGCAGGTGGAAAATTATTAGACACAAGTAGACTTTGGAAAAAAGTTCAGAGAAGAGCAACTAAGATGATCAAAGGCCTGGAGGCTAAAACATATGAAGAACGGTTGCAGGAACTGGGTATGTCTAGTTTAATGAAAAGAAGGACTAAGGGAGACAGGATAGCAGTCTTCCAATATTTGAGGGGCTGCCACAAAGAAGAGGGAGTCAAGCTCTTCTCCAAAGCACCTGAGGGCAGGACAAGAAGCAATGGGTGGAAACTAGTCAAGGAGAGAAGCAACCTGGAACTAAGGAGGAATTTCCTGACAGTGAGGACAATTAACCAGTGGGACAGAAATTGGAGGGTTTTAAGAGACTGGACAGTCACTTGTCTGAGATGGTATAAGGCAGAGGCCTTCATACTTGGCAGCTTTAAGACTTGTGGACTTCAACTCCCAGAATTCTCCAGCCAGCATAGCTGGAGTTGAAGTCCACAAGTCTTAAAGCTGCCAAGTATGAAGGCCTCTGGTATAGGATCTCCAGCCTCCTATTCTATTCTATTCTATTCTATTCTATTCTATTCTATTCTATTCTTATTCTATTCTATTCTATCTTCTATTCTATTTTTCTCCTCTATCTATTCTTCTCTCTCTCTCTATTCTATTCTTCCTTCTTCCTCCTCCTCCTCTATTCTCTTCTTCTCCTTCTATTCTCTCCTCCTCTATTTTCTTCTCTTCTTCTTCCTCCTTCTATTCTATTCTATTCTATTCTATTCTATTCTATTCTATTCTATTCTTCTCCTTCTATTCTATTCTTCTCTCCTCCTCCTCTATTCTTCCTTCTTCTTCCTCCTCCTCCTCTACTCTTCTCCTTCTCTCCTCTCCTCTTCTCTTCTTCTTCCTCCTCCTCCTCTATTCTCTTCTCTTCTTCTTCCTCCACCTATTCTATTCTATTCTATTCTATTCTATTCTATTCTATTCTATTCTATTCTATTCTATTCTATTCTATTCTATTCTATTCCATTCCATTCCATTCCATTCCATTCCATTCCATTCCATTCCATTCCATTCCATAAGAAGGGAAATCTCTCCCTTCTTGCTAACAATTGAGGAAATGGACATTGCAGATGGGTCTATGAGTTGCGATGCTAATTCGCTTCTCCGATGGTTGGCGAAGATCTAAAAGTGGGAAAAGAGTCTTTTCATAAATCGTGCAGGCTTAGAGTTGGTCCTTTCCCAATTTTGCAGTCTGCAGACACAGAGCAGCCTGCCTTTTCATCGTCACGTCTCCCCTTAATCTCACCATATTGTAAAAAAAAAAATGTAGAGACTCTGGAAAGAGCCCAGAGAGGATTAGGGGGCTGGAGGCTAAAAGAACAGTTGTAGGAACTGGGTATGTCTAGTTTAATGAATAGAAGGACTAGGGGTGACATGATAGCAGTGTTCCAGGATTGGAGGGGCTGCCACAGAGAAGTGGGGGTCAAGCTATTCTCCAAAGCACCTGAGAGCAGGAGAAGAAGCAATCGATGGAATCTAATCAAGGAGAGAAGCAACTTAGAACTAGGGAGAAGTTTTCTGACAGTGAGAACAATTAATCAGTGGAACAACCTGCCTGCAGAAGTTGTGAATGCTCCAACACTGGAAGTTTTAAAGAAGATGTTGGATAACCATTTGTCTGAAGTGGTGTAGGGTTTCCTGCCTAAGCAGGGGTTTGGACTAGAAGACCTCCAAGGCCCCTTCCAACTCTGTTATCCTATAAACCAGAAAAGTTAACTAGCTCAAACTTCCCTCGGCTTGCTGCAACATCTAAAATTCAAACTTTACAATTTCAGGCCAAACCATCCAGAAATAAACGGGCTAAATTTAAAAAAAAAAAAAAAAAGGCTTTGGAGCACCAACAGAATTGCATTTCAAAGCTGGTTTCCATTAATTCCCCCCCCACACACACACACACCCATAATTTACACAGGAGAATCTTTGGAGCTGGTTATGTGATTGCAATTATTTTTCTTTCCAAACTCTGCTTCCGGTCATCGGGGTCTTGTTTAAAAAAAGAGGAGAGCTGAGCGCAAAGGGGTTTTAATGTTGTCCAAACCTTCCTGAATTTGATTTCCAGCTTCTTCGGGTAGGAAATCCAGAGAGGTTTTCTGACCTTTTGAAGATGGTGAAAAGGAAAGTGAAAACTTACGTTCTTTTATGACTTGCTTTCTTCTTCTTGGTTTTTAAAAACTTTTCTCCTGGCACCCCAACTTTGAGGTGTTTACAGTTCAGTGAGCTCTTTAGCCGTTCCGCAATTCAAAGGAAGAAGAAACCGATAAATCAGCCAAGGAGAATTGGGCTCTCTTGCTTGTAATTGCCAGGCTAAATCAGAACTGACTTTTAATAATAGGGTGGATTTAAACAGTACAACAGTCAACTTCATTCAGGGGGTTTTATTAGAGAGCAAACATTTTCAGTTGTGTTTTCCCCTCTGCAGTTTCTCTCTCTCTCTCTCTCTCTCTCTCTTGCTTTCTTTCTCTCTTGCTTTCTTTCTCTCTCCCTTTCTCCTTTTCTCTCGCATTCTCTCGCATTCTCTCTCTTTTCTCTCTCTTTCTCTTTCTTTCTCTCTTTTTCTTTCTTTCTCCCTTTCTTTCTTTCTTTCTCTCTTTCTCTCTCCCTTTCTCCCTTTCTCTCTCCCTCTCTCTCTCCCTCTTTTTCTTTCTCTTTCTTTCTCTCCTTCTCTCTCGCATTCTCTTTCTCTCTCTCTCTCTCTCTTTCTCTTTCTCTTTCTCCTTCTCTTTTTCTTTCTCTCTTTCTCTCTCCCTTTCTCCCTTTCTCTCTCCCTCTTTCTCTCTCACTTTCTTTCTCTCTTTCTTTCTCTCTCCCTCTTTCTTTCTTTCTCTTTCTTTCTCTCTCTCCCTCTTTCTTTCTTTCTCTCTCTTTCTCTCATTCATTCTCTCTCTCTTTCTCTCCTCTTTCTCTCTCTCTCTTTCTTTCTGTCTCACACTCTTTCTCTCTTTCTTTTTCTCTCTCTTTTTCTCTCTCTTTCTTTTTTTCCTCTCTCTCCTCCTCCTTCTCTCTTTCTCTGTCCCTCTCCCTCTCTCTTCCTCTCCCTCTCCCCCTGTGTGTGTCTGTCTCTGTGTGCATGTGTGTGTTTGTATTCTGGATCTCCATGAAGATCCAAGTCAATGGGCCAAACAGGGGAGTGCAAACTCAACATTGTTGGTCAATTTCACAGAACAGTTCAAACTGTTTTGTCTGTTTGACAAAAAAAAGCTTTGTCTGTTTGAAGACCGACAAAGATGACAAAAGATTTGGAGGCTAAACCGTACAATGAATGTTTGAAGGAACAGAGTATATCCAGTTTAATGAAGAGAAGGTTTGGGGTGTGTGTGTGTGTGACATAATAGCAGTCTTCCAATATTTGAAGGGTTGCCCCAAAGAAGAGGTGGGGTCAACCTATTCTCCAAAGCACCTGAAGGCTGGAAAAGAAGCAACGGATGGAAACTAATGAAGGAGAGAAGCAACTTAGAGACATTTCCTGACAGTGAGAACAATCAATCGGTGGAACGATTTGCCTCCAGAAGTTGTGGATGCTCCATCTGGAGGTTTTTAAGAAGATGTAAAAGAGCCTTGGTGGTGCAGCGGACTAAGTGCTGTTATGTAGCACTTAGCTGCCAGCTGCCTGCAATTAGTGCGAGTTCAAATCTCACCAGGCTCAAGGTTGACTCAGCCTTCCATCCTTCCGAGGTAGGTAAATTGAGGACCCGGATTGTGGGGGCAATAAGCTGACTTTGTAGAAACACCGCTTATGGGGGGGCCAAAAGCCCTAATAAGCAGGTATATACACAAGAATGAAGGCTGTTGCTATAAGTGCATTGTAAGCCGCCCTGAGTCTTCGGAGAAGGGCGGCATATAAATTGAACTAATAAATAAATGTTGGATAACCATTTGTCTGCAATGGTATAAGGTCTCCTGTTTGAGCAGAGAGTTGGATTAGAATACCTCCAAGGTCCCTTCCAACTCTACTGTTCTATGTTCTACATCTTTCAAGGGTTTTGAGGAACATCAACAGAAGGAGGACACAGGTTTCCAAGAGGAATGCCCAACATGGTTCTTCCCTCCAAGAAGTAAGGAAGAATTAGCGTACCTCTAAAATTGCAGCTGACATCCCTTCAGATACAGAACTGTTAACCAGGGCGAAACAGTTTTTCATAATAGCATGAAGATCTTCCTGGGGGACTTCTGACAACAAGTGGACCCCATCTGACCTACGGAGTAAATTCAAGCTTGTTAATCGTCTTCCAACGGATGGCCGGTAGAAGCAGTCCTCCCCTTACTACCACATTCGGGACCAGAACTTTCGTTGCTAGGCATGAAGTCTTTAAGGTGAGTCGCGCTCAAATTTACGACCCTTCCCCCCCCCCAACGGCATCAAGAGAATCGTGCCGTCATTCAGCGAATCCAGCTTTCCCCCACTCGCTTTGATTGTGGGAAAGTTGCAAATGGAGACCGCACGACTGCAAGAGTCGTACGGACACGCCAGTTGCCAAGCACCCAGGTTTTAGTCCCGTGATCGTGAGGAATACTGCAGTGGTAAAGTGTAAAATTTGTTACTACCGGTTCTGTGGGCGGGGCTTGCTGGGGGCGGGTAATGTGACTGGGTGGGCGTGGCCAACTTTTTTTTTTTTTTACTTTTTTAAAGCATTTTTTAAAAACCTATTCGGGCAAATAGGGCGTAAAAAAATGCTTTTAAAAGGTAAAAAAAGAGGCTTTGGCGATCACAGCTGTGCCGCGCGATCATCAGAGCCTCTTTTTTAACCTTTAAAAAGCAGGAAGTAACAACACTTACTGGGTGGGCGGAGCCTTGTGCCACCATTGCTACTGGTTCTCCGAACCACCTGCCATTATCGCTACCGGATTGCACGATCCGGTCTGATCCAGGAGCATTTCACCCCTGGAATACTGCCATGGTCCTTAGCGCAAAGACCAGTCATGGCTGTTTTCAGTGCCGTCATGACTTCAAACTGGTCGTTAAAGGAATGGCCGTAACTTAAGGACTACCTGTAACTCCCACCATCTCTGCCCCTTGGCCACGATAACTAGGAGAGAGGTGGAATTCCATAAGATTGAGGGATGAGATTCCAGATTATCTGTAGGAAGTCCCTACCAAGGATCGATTCTTGCAGGTAGGCAGCTCAGCGAACAGTAATCCATGATCAGCATCTTGTCCCAAAGGTGCTTTTCTTCGAGGGGGAACTGGACTTTCTGGTTTGTCTTTGAAGACATTTCACTGCTCCTCCAAGAAGCTTCTTCAGCTCTGACTTGGATGGTGGGGAAGGGAAGGATTTATATTCCTTGCAGACAGCTGGTCATTTGCATCCTTTTAGAGGGTCATTGAGGCCACTTGGAAGTTTGTTTATCTGTGTACAAAGCATCACCTGAGTATAATACAAATGGGTGTGGAGCCTTCTTGGAATGACTGAAAGGACTGTGTTGTAGACAGGAAATAGATCATGTCGTATCCCTCCAAGTGGCCTCAACAACCCTCTAAATGAATGCAAACGACCAGCTGTCTGCAAGGAATAAAAATCCTTCCATTCCCCATCATCCACGTCAGAGCTGAAGAAGCTTCTTGGATGAGAAGTGAAACGTCTTCAAAGAAAAAACAAGAAAGTCCAGTTGCCTCCTGAAAAAAGCACCTTCGGGGCATCCATGGCCTGAATGACTAAGAATCTCTACAAATGTTTAGCTGTACAATTTGGGATGAACCCCCTTGGAATGGTGGGGGAGTAGGAATGGATTTCCAGAGGGGGGAAAAATTGCAGACTACAGGAACCATTAGCACTACTCGGGTGACCCTGAGGACACAGAGAAACCTCCAAGTGGCCTCAACGACCCTCTAAAAGGAGTCAAATGACCAGCTGTCTGCAAGGAGCATCAATCCTTCCATTCCCCACCATCCAGTCAGAGCGGAAGAAGCTTCTCGGATGAGAAGTGAAACGTCTTCAAAGACAAACCAAAAAAGTCCAGTTGCCTCTTGAAAAAAGTACCTTTGGGACAACCATGACATGGATGACTGAGAATCTCCATAGACAATCAGCATCTTGGGAGGGTTTATTGGGGGGGGGGAGATTTGCCAATTCTCCCATGATTTTAAGATTCATTTTAAAAAAAAATCCTCTGTTTTTATGGAATGTCCAACATAAACTTTCCTAAGCTGCTCATTTTTTTCTTCTTTTTTTTACCGAGTCCTGCAGTTCTTAAATTCTTAGATGTTTGTTCTTAGAAGAGGTCAACTGTGAATTCATTTAATTTAATTATTTATCCACCCATATATATATAAGCTGAAAGTTTATATATATATGGGTGGCTGGTGGCCTGGTGGCTCAGTAGACTGATAGTATTGTGATTAACAACCAGCTGTCTGCAATTACTGTAAGTTCGAATCTCACCAGGCTCAAGGTTGACTCAGCCTTCCATCCTTTCTAAGGTAGGTGAAATGAGGACCCAGTTTGTGGAGGCAATAAACTGACTTTGTATAAAATATGCAAAAGTATGAAGGCTATTGCTTAACGCATTGTAAGCCGCCCTGAGTCTCCAAAGAAGGGCGGCATATAAATCAAATAATAAAAAAAAAAGTAGGGGCCCGATGATGACAAGTTAGAGAGCTTGTCGAAACGTTGCCAAAAAAGAAGACTTTTAAAGTGTTGGTTAGGATTTTAGCCAGAGTTTCAAAAGACCTTACGAAGCGTTTTGTTGGGATTTTGGAGGATTTTAAGCTGGGATTTTAGCCAGGATTTTAAGCATTTTAACTAACAGACTTTTAATGACGTGGGAAAACACCCGAGATTTTAACTTTTTACATACACACACCCGCGAAAACTTGAGAAGACATACGAGTTCCAGGTATATTAGTAAAAAAAGAAGCAGACATACTGCGAACTCCGGAACTTAAGATTTTAAAATTTTAAAAGAATTAAAATTTTTATTTTACTAAGCTTTCGTCAGCCATCTGCTGACATCGTCAGAGTATTAAACTACCATAAAGGCAGAGATGTCTGTAATGGTAGTTTAATACTCTGACGATGTCAGCAGACGGCTGACGAAAGCTTAGTAAAATACAATTTTAATTCTTTTAAAATTTTAAAATCTTAAGTTCCGGAGTTCGCAGTATGTCTGCTTCTTTTTTTACTCTCTCTCCCTCTCTCTCTCTCTCCTCTCTCTCTCTCTCTCTCACACACACACACACACACACACACACACACACACACATAATATATATATTTGGTAAGCTGTCTCCTGGAGAGATTCTAGCAGGCGTGTTCTGAAGCATGACATGGAATTTAGACCGTTTCTCCTGAGGGTGGGCCACAAGGCCTCGCCAAATGTCAAGAGCTGAAAGTGCAGAGCCAACCTATTTCAACAAGAACCGCTTAGTCAGGGTGTTATTGATTTCTTGGGGAAATTAAGAACAGGAGCCTTAAAGAGCAACCGCTCTCATGCCAGTGCAGCCTCACCTCGCCTGCCATCTTCTAGATACGTTGCAATGTGATTCCCAATCCCTGGAGGCAGGGGGGAATATTAAATTATTAATCACGCTTCCTTCCTCTGCCCGACGACGCGGGAGTCTAAACGCTGTTGTTTCTGACTCTGCCTTCTTCGTAACCCCCGGGTCGAATCGACGGGAGATTCTTGACCGAGCGGAATCCAAAACGAAGGACTCCTGCCTGTAAGGTTTTCCGCTCTCCCAGCATCCACGCAAGGTTTGATGGAAAGGATGAGCAGAGGCTAGCGGGCATGGGATCCCGCCATGTGGCTTCTTGGGCAAGAGACGGGTTTCCCCCTTCGCGTGGCATTTCTTCAGAGCTGGGAAGTTTTCATCGCTTCCGAGCTGGAAAGGTTGATCGTACACCACAAGGCCTCTCTCTCAAGTGCCGAGTGCCTGGGCAACCGAAGTGGGGGGGTTTTTTTTGGTTGCTCGAAATTTCCGTGACACTGAAATCATAGTAAGCTGCCCAGAATTGATTTGGATAGATAGTGAGATGGGTGGGGAAGGAAAGAAGGGAGGGAGGGAGGGGGCGAGGAAGGAAGGGAGAAAGGAGGGAGAGAGGGAGAAAAGAAAGAAGGAAGGAAGGAAGGAAGGAAGGATGGAAGGAAGGAAGGAAGGAGAAAGATGGCAGGGAGGGAGGAAGGAGAAGAGAGGAAGAAAGGGAGAGGGAGAGGGAGGAGAGGGAGAAGGAAAGGAGAGGGGGAGGGAGGGAGGAAGGAGAGATGAGTTGGAAAAAAGGAAAAAGGGAAATGGGAAGGTGGGAGGGAAGGAAGGGAGAAAGAGAGGAAGGAAGGAAGGAGAAAGATGGGAGGGAGGGAGGAAGGAAGGAGAAAGATGGCATGGAGGGAGGGAGGAGAGGAGAGGGAGGGAGAGGGAGAAGAAGAAGGAAAGGAGAGGGGGAGGGAGGGAGGAAGGAGAGAGGAGTTGGAGAAAAAGAAGGAAAATGGGAAGGAGGGAGGGAGGGAGGGAGAAAGGAAGGAAGGAAGGAAGGAAGGATCATAGCATGAAAATTCCTGAGGCCCTCAAGGTTGAGCTTCCTAACCTCTGGAGGAGAGTAGATTAGAGAAGGTTGGTGTAGAAAATTCAGGAAAATAAACAGAGGTTTCCTTGGGGGGGTGATAATCTCCTTATCACATTACATAAATATTACATATCACATAAATCTCTTCTAATTGTTCTAAATCTTTATGCTGAAGATTCTTAACCGATGAACCAAATTGGCTTAATCATCTTATATTCACATTTTATATGTATGTTATTTTAACTGTTCACCGCCCTGAGTCCTTCGGGAGAAGGGCGGTATAAAAATTAAATAAATAAATGAATGAATAAATTACAGCAACCTACCTGTTCACCTTCTCCTCAACTTCTTTGGCGAAGGTTGGATCAGCCTACAGCATAAAAAAGAAAAGAAAAAAAGACGGCAACGCACAAATGATTGCACGCCAGGAAAACAAGCTCCAGATTGTGAAAATAAAATCACCGGAGTTGGAAGAAGTCATTTGTTCAGGATAGGATGCCAAAATAAAGCATTTCAAAAACAAAACACAAATATCTATCATGCCAACATTCACGTCAGAGGAAATTAGTCTAATGCTCTAATTTGAGGACTTAAAACTTTGCTCTTTTATTCGTATCCCAACCCCCCAAAAAACTTTCTCCTCCTTCCCACCAACCTACCTGCCCGACAAGCAAGACGATGCTCAGAAAGAGAGAAAATTTGAGGGTTTTTTTCGGATGTGTAACATCCTGGCAGCTCCCTCTGGCACTTTCAACAACTCATTTGGGAGGAAACTTGACGCAAATAAAAATTGACAAGCGGACTGCCTGAAGTCTCAACTAAGGAAGGAGGGAATCGGAGGCAACAAAAAGGGGGGGGGGGGGGGGAAATAAAAAAATAAAAATAAAATACATGTTTAGATTATGTACCTTTCCACAATCTTCTCTTCCACACCAGTTCGCTTTCAAATCTCACAGTGAATCGGAGTGGAAAGGGGGGGAAAAATTAATAAGGGGGAAAGACGCGCTGTAGCTGAACGGGAAGCGGTAAGACAAGAATTTGACGTTGAAATAAAAGTGGAGTTTTATCAAGACAACTTAATAAAACAGGAAACGGGGCATCTTAAGAGAGCCTGTCTGGTCTAGCGGTTGAAGTGCCGGCCTAGAAACCAGGTGACTAGGAGTTCCAGTCCTACCATGGGCACGAAAGCTGGTTGGGTGACTCTGGGCCAATCACCAGGAGATGGTGAGTTCTAGTTCCACCTCATGCATGAAAGCCAGTTGAGTGACTTTGGGCCAATCACCAGGAGATGGTGAGTTCTAGTCTCACCTTGGGCACGAAAGCCGGTTGGGTGACTCTGGGCCAATCACCAGGAGATGGTGAGTTCTAGTTCCACCTTAGGCATGAAAGCCAGTTGGGTGACTTTGGGTCAATCACCAGGAGATGGTGAGTTCTAGTCCTACCATGGGCACGAAAGCCGGTTGAGTGACTTTGGACCAATCATCAGGAGATGGTGAGTTCTAGTCCTACTATGGGCATGAAAGCTGGTTGGGTGACTCTGGGCCAATCACCAGAAGAATTCTAGTCCTGCCTTAGTCAACCTTGGGCCAGTCTCTCTCTCTCTCTCTCTCCCAGTGTAGCCCATATCACAGGATTGTTGTTGGGAAAATAAGAGGAGGAACTTGTGTTGGATGAATAGGTTTGCTGCCTTGAGCAATTTGTAAAAACAAGAAAGGTGGGGTGCAACTAACTAAACTAAACTAAACTAAACTAAACTAAACTAAACTAAACTAAACTAAATCTTATGCAAAGAGTTGGCTCTCTGGAAAAAGCTTAATGCTGGGAAAGATGGAAGGAAAGAGAAGGAAAGGACAAGGAGGAGGATGGAGTTAATTATAGTGGCATGTAGAGAACTTACAGCAGGTCCAACAATGAGCAGGTGTACCCTGGAATCTTCCCGATGCCACTCTGTCAAGTGAAGAGGAGACAACTCTAGTTAGACTAAAATTAATGTGAGACTAAAGCATGGTAACATGGACTAACAATAGTTCTGACCTAGGCTTCCCCAGCAGCACGAAGCTGAGTCCTCGTCCTGATAAGCCCCTTTTATTTAATTGACAATGAATTCCTCTCCAGCAAAGTCTTTCCTCTCCCACAGTCTTTCAAGGTAGTTCACAATTACCGACCTTGATCAGCTTTGGAGAGGTGCCCGGCCGATATCTTTCAGACTCCCGCAATACTTGGCAAGAATGCAGGAATGGACTAATTGTCTCCTGCAAACTCCACTCCCCTTTCGCTCCTCTTTTATTCCCTCTGGGAAGGGCCATTCATTGGCCAACTGTGGCCTTACTCCTGAGTCGACCCTTGTTCTTTAGCTGTTCTCTTCATCTGGCAACTCTGCGCATGCGCACCCTGGGAACAGGCTCCAGCTGTTCATCTGCCTCACTGATGTCCAACTCTGAAGGCAGCGGATAACTCAGACGGCCCTGGCCCCCTCTCTGCCTCAGACGCAGAGCCCTCATCCGAGCCTTCCCCAGACTCCAGGATTGGCCCATGTTCCTCCCCAACCTCCTCACTGTCCGAATCTGCTGCCAGATCCGCTGGTGGATCACAACAACAATTGGTGGCAGAATCTGCCTTGTTGGTGCTTGGTGAAACCATTTTAAGTTGTTATTTTAGTCCAGCCGAGATGGGAAGATAGAGGAGATGCCTACAGAAACGTTGGACCCAAATGGTGGAAGATTATGTTCCTGAGAAGGAACATTTCAACCAGCTGTTGGTTAGATCTTAGATCCCCCAGCATCTGAAGTCTGAGTAATTCCTCAACTAATTCTCCCATGGCCAACCAATTAAGAGTTATATCTACTTTGATTAGTAAACTGTTTGCTACCCAATGTAGCATCAATCTAAGTATGAAGGGCCGTGTTTTCTGGCTATATTGACACTTATAATGGCATTCTTTTCCTCTCAGTTGGCCTGTATGTTTAATTTTGTACTATCCTGTAACTCTTTTTAATTGTTTTTATGAGTGTTTGGTGTCCAGAGTCACTTGCTTGAAATGGACGGCTCCAGGACCTGAATAAACGAAAGAATGAACCTGGAGAATTCAGATTTGTCTGGCGAGCAAATGGACCATTCAACCAATGACATTAATTTTAATGTAATGTGATCAATTAAGGAGATAGGCCAAGGATGATGGTTGGTGCCCTGTCCTCTCCTGAGTTGTCCCTTCACACAATGATCAGATGTTCACTCTTACATAAAATCATTTAAAAACCAAGAATCCTGTGTGTTCTCGGTCCTCAAAGGAAAGTGGCGCAATTTATTTTTCTTTTAATCGATCGATTAAAGTTGTTTTGCTGCCCAGTTCACTGATACAGCGCCTCTGAGAAGCTCTTAGTTCCATAGCACCAAGTGAGGCTGGAAAAGGCAAATTCGCCTCCCCAAATGTTCTTATGAACCACACACACACAAAAACACACAAAATTGGAAAAATTTAGAAGTTAGAAAACCCAAACTCTGGTCAGATGGACACAACAGCTGTATCCATCACATTCCAGGCGCCCCCCTGCCTCCTCAAATTATGCCTCCCAGTCATCCAAAAAGATGGCCGTTGGTAGGGGGTCATCCATGCCAAATGTGTGGTTAAGAAGTTGGATGGGAAAATGTTGACCTGAAAAAGCATCCAGTAGAAAAAGTGGATCTTTGACTCTCCTTAGTCCACAGATCAGCACGAAGAGATATACATTCTGGTCGTCCTGGGCAATCCCTGTAGAGAAAGGATGATTGAAACTTCTTCAGTTTCGAAGGATCAGAACTTCTCCGAAAATTAAGAAGGGTCAAGGACCCTGTCAAGTCAACACACCATCAACTATCTAGGAATATTTGCAAGTTGTTGATTCCAACCCAACACCTTCTCTCTTATTAGGAGCCATAGTGGCGCAGTGGTTAGAATGCAGTATTGCAGGCTAACTCTGCCGGCTGCCAGCAGTTCAATTCCAATCGGCTCAAGGTTGACTCAGCCTTCTATCCTTTCGAGGTTGGTAAAATGAGGACCCAGATTGTTGGGGGCCATAGGCTGACTCTGTAAACTGCTTAGAGAGGGCTGCAAAGCACTGCGAAGCGGAATATAAGTCTAAGTACTACTGCTATTGCTCTTCTTTTTCTCCTTCCTTCCTTCCTTCCTTCCTTCCTTTCTTCCCTCCCTCGCTCCCTCCCGCCCTCCATGATGGCGTAGTGGTTAGAATGCAGTATTGCAGGCTAATTGTGCGGACTGCCAGGGGTTCGATCCTGACCGGCTCAAGGTTGACTCAGCCTTCCATCCTTCCAAGGTTGGTAAAATGAGGACCCAGATTGTTGGGGGCAAGAGGCTGACTCTGTAAACCGCTTAGAGAGAGTTGGAAAGCACAGTGAAGCGGTATATAAGTCGAAGTGCTATTGCTAAGTGCTATTAATCAGTCTACTGAAACTAGTTTTTTCATGTTCTCTATTTCCATTGCTTTTCAAAGCAATCTTTGGCTAAACTCCTAAGCTGGACGGGACCTTGGAGGTCTTCTAGTCCAACCCAAGAAAGGAGCCCTTATACCATCCATATCCTGGATAACTGGTCCATTTTGGAAGATGTCTATGGATATTCTCAGCCATCCAGGTCATAGTTGTCCCAAAAGGTACTTTTTCAAGAGACTTTCTGGAAAGTCCATCTTGAAAAGTTAACCATTCAAGGAGGCTTGGAGAGATCAAGAAAAGCCAATAAAATTTTGCCACCTTTCCTGAGGAAGCAAAAGTATTTAAAAAAAAAAAAAAAGTTAGAATGTGTTTGGTGCCTCTTCAAGACTGGAATGAGGGGAATGTAAAAATGGATTTTAACCGCTAAATGCAGAAGTGGAATTTTTCTTTAGCCTCTCTCTTGCAACAATGGTGGCATCAACAAGGGAAGAATGACCAGCTCAGATTAACCAATCCAACCTGCCTCAGTCTAACCCCGTGGGGGTGAACCAATGGCACGTATGCCAAAGCTGGCATGCAGAGCAGAGCCCTCCCTGCGGGCACACAAGCCATCGCCCAGTTCAGCTCCACCACGCATACATGCACGGCAGTGGTGGGTTTCAAATTTTTTTATTACCGGTTCTTTGGGTGTGGCTTGTTGGGCGTGGCAGGGGAAGGATACTGTAAAATCTCCATTCCCTCCCGACTCCAGGGGAAGGATACTGCAAAATCCCCATTTCCTCCTGATCAACTGGGACTCGGGAGGCAGAGAATAGATGGGGGCGGGGCCAGTCAGAATTTTTACTACCGGTTCTCTGAACTACTCAAAAGTTCCGCCACCGGTTCTCCAGAATTTATACATGCGCAGAAATGGATAAATTAACTCTAGAATTAAAAGATAAAGAAGACTCAAAGTATTTTATAGTATGGAATAGATGGTATAAGTGGATAAACCAAAGGAAAAAAGGGTAAAGATAAGAATTAGAGGAAATGCAAATATATATATATATATATATATATGCACCGTCAGATAGATAGAAAAGGTAAATAAGTCACTGTCTGTAGATTTGTATATATGTGTTTTATATAATCATATGTACTTAGTTTGTTAGTGTAATTATGGATTGAAAATGTAAATTTTAAGAGAGAGAAAATTTGTATATTCTCTCTTTTTGTTTTTGTTTGTTAATAGTTTTAAATTCAATAAAGTTTGTTTTTAAATTGAAGAAAAAAAAAAAGAACCTGCTACAACCCAGATCTGGTACAGGCGCCTCCAGCCAGCCAGCTGATTTTCGGGATGTGCAGGGGGCGAGGCGCACGCGGGAGACGCGAGTGCATGCGCAGAGGGGCTTGTGCGCATGCGTGGGGTAGTGCGGGGATGGAGAGCGGGGGGAAGGTGAGGGCTGCCCTCCCCCCCACCATGGCCCTGTTTTTGGGCTCAGGAGGCTGCAGGGAGGTCTGCTAGGCCAAAAACGGGGTGTGGGGGGTCACATATGCATGCACAAAGGGGGTGCCGGTACAGACACGCATTGTAGTGTGTGCACGCACGGTTTTGGCACACGACAAGAAAAATATTAGACATCACTGGTCTAACCTGTCACCAGAATTTCTGCTGTACAGGGTGTCAGGTTTCGGGGCTATCTTAAATAAACTTCATTCTCAAGCGCAAAGTCTCTAATGAATCACTTTTATTTTAAGAATAGCAGAATCCGACATTCCTGATTCAAGTTGCAGCCAAACTGGCCCCTCCTTCCAACCCCCTCCTCTTCCGCTCTCCAACCCCAATGTCCCATTGGCCATCATGCAGATCCATCTCTACATCCTGGCACGTTCTTTTCAGAGGAATGTGGCCCCCACCCTCGTCACCCAGGAAACACTATCTGTAACATACAGAAAACTAGGTAAAAGTTCATCTCAGCAATAAATCAAGCTTCTGCTCTATGCTTCATCTTGTTCATGTCAGCGCTGTAAGAGAGCCTAATTTGGAACGCTGACATCGGGAATCTTTGACTTACAACTGGTCACTTAGCAACCATTTGATGTTACGACCTATCTGATTTATAACCAGATCTGAAGTTCCCGCACTCTCTCACACACTCACACCCCATAGTCACATGACCACATTTAGGGGAGGGTTCCAGCAACACCACCACACTTGCATCGGTCTGGAGATTCGCACGGACACGTGACTGAATTGGCCATCGCTTACTCCCAGTTTTCGGCAAAACCCCTCCCATACCCCAATCAATGGGTTCGCACTTACAACCGCCGTGTTCGCTTTGTGACTGCGGCGCTCGCACTCATGGCCGCTGTATTTGCTTTACGGCGTTCACTTAATGACGGCCATGAATGGGGAAAAACAAACAAACAACCCTGACGTAAAATCATCGTCAATCGTGCGTTATGATTGTTACAATTTACGACCGTAACAGCCAGAGCTCAATACGGTTGTAACTTGAGGACTGCAGAACATCTGAAGGTTATAAAAACAAGTCCGGGCGGATTCCAGCAGCTTTATTAATGTCTCCATCCACAGTAGATGCTACAAGTAATTCAGGGGATATTTTTTATTATTTTTTTCCAAAAGGAACTGAACTGGAAAAGATCCTCTCTGTTTTTATGGTCTCTCTCTCCCTGCGCTGACCTTTTAAACAAGAAAAAAAGGAAAAAGGGAAGGTTTCTGTGGCTGTTTCCTCTGTCCACCACTTCATTTTTTTAACAAATATCCCTGCAATCTCTTTCAAGATTGGCATAAAACACGGGGGCTGATCAGTAACCAAAAACCAGCTCCGCCAATGCCGTCTGTTTATCTCTCCAAAATATCACCGGTGGGGGCTCAGAGTCCAGGCTTACAATATTGCTTTTCGGAAATTAAAACCCAATCCGGAGAGAGAGAGAGAGAGAGAAGGAGAGAAAGAGAGAAAGAGGAGAGAGCGAGATAAGGAGAAAGAGAAGGAGAGAGAACGAGAGAGAGAAAAGAAGAGAGAGAGGGAGAGAGAGAGGGAGGGAGAGAAAGAGAAGAGAAAGCAGAGAGAGAAAAAAGGAGAGAGGAGAGAGAAAGAAAGAGGGAGAGATAAAAGGATAGAGAAAGAGAGGGAGAGAAAGAGAGGAGAGAGAAAAGGAGAAAGGGGAGAGAGAACGAGAAAAAGGAGAAAGAGAGAGAAAGAACAGGAAAGAAAGAAAGAGAAAGAGGAGAGAGGACAGAAAGAACGAGGGAGAGATAAAAGGGGAGAGAAAGGGAGAGAGAGAAAAAGAGGAGAAAGAGAGAAAAAAGAGAAAGAGGAGAGAGAAAGGAGAGAAAAAGAGAACGAGGAGAATGAGAGAGAGAAAAGGAGAAAGAAGAGAAAGAAAGAGGAGAGAGGAGAGAAAGAGGAGAGAGAAAAGGAGAAAGAAGAGAAAAAGGAAAGAGAGAGAGAAAGAGAAACAGAAGGAAAGAAAGAGAGAAAGAGGAGAGAGAAAGAACAAGGAAGAGATAAAAGGAGAAAGAAAGGAGAGAGAAAACAGAAAGAGGGGAGAGAAAGAGGAGAGAGAAAGGAGGGAGAGAGAGAAAGAGAAGGAGAGATAGAGGATATATATGTGTGTGTGTGTGTGTGTGTGTGTAGGTCTTTGGTTATTCGGGTTTTCTCCCGCGTAAAATTGATTCTGCTTTTCTGTAGAATTTGCAAGCACCTCATTAAGCTTCCGTCAGAACCAGGCAACACTAGAAAGCAGCAGACGACAGAAGGCGAGCGAGAGAAAACGTGAAAAGGGCAAAAAAGAAAAAGAAAAAGAAAAAAAAAAAAAAACAGACCAAAAAGCTCAATTACCAAACAAGAACAAAAAAAAAAAAAAGGGTTGAAAAAAAAAACAAAAAAAAAAAAAAAAAAAATCAGATTCATAATCAAAATATCCTTAGTGCTCCATAAAGCACAGAGCCATTCTGCTTGATAGCAAAGAAGCCAAAATTACCCTTAATGCAATTTTAATATTCCGCGGAGGTCTAAACCATTTCCAATTTTAACCTACGTTGATTTTTTTCTTCTTCTTCTTCTCCTTCCGTAGAGGTAACTTGTGAACTGTAGTCACAGCAGCGAAAAGCTGCAGTTTTCAAAAAAATATATATATGAGGAATTCTTTGCGGCGGGCTGACCTTTCCTTCCTTCTTCCTTTGTCGTCCTTCACAAATGCGCAGCAACGCAACCTGTGAGAATTTCAAAACCCACAACCCTCCCCTTCCCGTCTCTTGAAAATACGCTCGGCAAATACAGGCGCTCCTCGGCTTACGACTGCAACGGAGCCCAAAACTTTCTGCTGTTAAGGGAGACATTTGTGAAATGACGTTTGCCCCAGGGGTGAAAATCTATTTATCTTCCCAACCGGTTCAGAAGTGCACACGCCACGCGCGCGCACGGACCCTCTGCACATGTGCAAAGCCTTCTGTGCACGCGCAGAGGGTAAAAAAACAGGTTACTTCCCGGTTAAAACCAGGAAGTATTGACGACTGGGTGGGTGGGTGGAGCCTCGCGCTGCCATCGCTACCGGTTCTCCGAACCGGTCTGAACCGGGATCATTTCACCCCTGGTTTGCCCCATTTTACAACCGTCGTTAAGCGAATCCCTGCAGCGGTGAAGTTACTAACCCGGTTGTTAAGTGAATCTGGCTCCTCCCCCCCCCATCAGAAGGTCACAAAAGAGGATTATGTGAACCCCGGGACACTGCCAACCGTCGTAAATCGGAGTCAGTTGGAATTTTGTCCCTGGGGAGGCTGCAACTGTTGTTAAATGTGGGAAACAGTCACAAGCCCCTTTTTCCGTTGCCGTTTGTAACTTGGAGCAGTCGCTAAACGAACTGTGGTAAGTCGAGGACAGCAGAGATAGGCAAACTTTGGGGGGGGGGTTCAATTTGAAATGTTTCGCATCTTCCACCCAAGGCGAGGGGGTGGTACCCGTGGACTACAATTCCCATCAGCCTGGAAAGGGACGTCGGGAGCCGCAGCTGATTGATGGGTCGTGTTGTAGTGATGTAACAGTTAAGAGTTGGAAGGACCTCGGAGGTCATCTGGTCCAACCCCCTGCTCACACAGGCGACCCGTACTAGGGATTCGAACCGTCGAATTGCCGACCTTTCTGATCGACATGCTCAGCGTCTTAGCCACTGAGCCACCTAGACAGGTAAGAGATCGGATTTCTCTTGAATATAAATGTGGATTTTTCTGGTATTGGTCGCAGGGTCCTGTTAAGCTTTGAACATTGTTAAGACGTGAAAATAGCTGGCAGTCCTCAGCTTATGATCTCCGTTGAGACAGGAATGCCTCGTGGCTAAGGGATGTGGTTGTTAAGTGAGAGGCCCCTCCCCCCGCTTTTATGACCTTTCGGCCGTGGTGGGTAAGGGAATCGTGAGGCTGTTAAGCGAATCACGGGGTTGTTTGGTAAATCCGGCTTTTCCACATTGATTCTAGTTCAGTGTTTCTCAACCTTGGAAGCTTGAAGATGGGTGGACTTCAACTCCCAGAATCCCCCAGCCAGCAGCGCTGGCTGGGGGATTCTGGGAGTTGAAGTCCACCCATCTTCAAGCTACCAAGGTTGAGAAACACTGATCTAGTTGTTGGAAACCAGCTGGGAAGGTCGCACGTGGCCAAATCACGCAGCCAAATCACGTTCATACGACTGAGGATGCTGTGATGGTTGTAAGTGCGAGGACTGGTCATTCAGGTTTTTTTCAGTGCCATCATCACAACTTTGGATGGTTGCCAAACGAATGATTGTTAAGTCGAGGATTCCCTGTCTTATGAATGATAGGAACTTTCTGGGAAACATGAAAATTATTTCTTTCTTTTCTTTTCTTTCTTTTCCCTTTCTTTTCTTTCTTTCTTTCTCCCTTCCTTCTTTGTTCCTTTCTTCTCTCTCTCTTTTCTTCTTTCCTTCCTTGTTTCTTTTCTTTCTTCTCTTTCTTTCTTTCCTTCCTTTCTTCCTTCCCTCTTTCTCTTCCTTCCTTGTTTGCTTCTTTCTTCTCTCTTTACTTCGTTTCCTCCCTCGCTCTTTACTTTTCTCTTTCTTTCCCTCCCTTCTTCCTTTCATCCTCTTTCATTCTTTGTCTTCTTCCTTTCCCCTTTCTCTTCCTTCCTTCTGTTTCTTTGTTTCTTTCTTCTCATTCTTTCCTTCCCTCCCTCCCTCTTTCCTTCCTTCCTTCCTTCTTTCCTTCCTTCCTTTCGTTCTTTCCTTCCTTCTCTCTCTCTCTCTCTCTCTCTCTCTCACACACACACACACACAGAGAAGGGCTCTGAAGATTGAATTCCGACCTCAGTACAATTATTCCACTGAATCTCCCTGCTGCTGGTCTCGAGGACATTGCCAATCCTAAAAACGGAAGCTGTGGCTTCTATTCCCATTTCAAAATTCCCAACAGAAGCCTATTTATTCCCAATTTCTGATCAATCCCTACGACAGATGACCTTCTGATTACATCTACACTCCTCTCACCCTTTGTGGCCCGTCCATCACAACTCACCAGTGTTCTCACCACAATGTTTTGGGGTGTTTAAAATTTAAAGGGGGGGGTTATTTATTTAAATTTTTAGGGAGGGGTCAGAGAACTGGGGAGCACAAACTCTCCATAAGTACATAAAGAAACCAACCGAGACAATTGTCAGGATATTCATGACTGGGAAGACCTGGTCAGCCAATGAATAGGCATAGCAAATAAAGTCAGCCAATTGGGAGCTGCGACAGACTGGAGGCAGGGCGTGCCTTAGTCTGCAGCTTCTGATTCTGTGCAGAGAAAAGAGAAACTGAAACCAGTGTGTGTGTTAAGCTCTCTACTGTACTCTGTGTATGTGAACATGTCTGCTGATCTGAGCTGGAGAATCAACTATTGGTATTGTAAATACTTTATGTGTTATTATGACTATAAAGAAGTTAATGAATCCAGCTGATTCAGTTATCTGTGCGTGCTTCTGGATTTGTTTTTTGCAACAATCCACTTTTTCCCCCCATCAAACACAACTGCCAAACTCAATCCATCCATTTCCTGCCTTTCCACAATAGCACTCGGCCAAAATACAAAACGCAATTCTTCAACATCCCTTTCTGATTGTGCTTCGCGCTTTTCAACCTTCCGAAAAAGGAGCCGTCTCTGGTTTCGACAAACGGGGGAATCGCCAGGATCGGCGGAGGGAAAGCTGAGCCGGTGCCCGTCTGCGGCGCACTCTATGGAAATTTTGAATTATCTACTTGTCACCAGCACTTCAGCTTAAAGGAAAAGTCTTCCAGGCTTCTCGGTCCTTGACCCACTGTCAGCTCGAAGCGCATGATTCGGAGGCCAAGCCACAACGTACAACGGTGGTGTGTGATTCAAGGATAACCATACAGGAGGGATAAACTACCCTACCGGCGGGGGAGTGAGGGATGTATGACCTCTTTTGCAGAACCTTCAGAGAGAAAACCTTAAATCCTTTTTTTTTAAGCGCTAAACAATCAGCTTTCCTCCGGTTGGTGGAGAAAGAGGATTTCTGCACGGAAGGCTCTGAATTCAATTCCCCAGGTTTTGTTTCAGCAAAATGCCAAGGGGATGGATGGGGCATGCGCGGTGAGGAGGAATTCTGTTTAAACTTGGGTAAACAGTGTTAGGAGATACCATGATGGTTTCATAGGTAGTTTTCCTTCTCTTTTTTTCCCTACTCCTTTTTCTTCTCCTTCCTCATTTATTTCCTTTCCTTTCCTTTCCTTCCTTTCCTTTCCCCATCCATTTAATCCCTTTCCTCTGTTCTCTTTTCTTTTCCTTTCCTTCCCATTCTCATTCATTCTCTTTCCCATCCATTTTTTTCCTTTCCTTTCTTTTCCTTTCCATTCCCATTCTCATTCATTTATTCCCTTTCCCATCCATTTACCTCCTTTCCTTTCCTTTCCTTTCCCTTGCCCCCTTTTCTTCCCTTCCTTTCCCTTCCCTCTCCCTTCCCAAATCTCCAAAGAGAAAGAGATTTGTGTTCAGAAAGACTTTTACTAAAAATTCTGGAACATGTCATGCTTGTATGCATTTTTACCTGCCCTCTGCAGAAATTCAGCCCAGTTATGCTGCCTGTTTGGAAGGCTCACGATCCCTAGAAATGAGAGTAAATTTGGGGTCATGCATTCAACTGCCCCTCCAAAAGCATGCCAGGGCAAGCTTTTCAGCAGGTTGTTTTCACTTGGTCTTTTTTTAAAAAAATTGAAACTTTTAAACAAGAAGATAAAAATGAATACAAACTAATGGAAAGTAAGAAAGAAGAAAAAAGAATAAAGGAAAATAAATCAAACATGCGCGTCAAACCTTTAAACAGGAAAAAAAAAACCAAGAGAAAGTAATATAAGAAAGAAAAAAGAAAATGAAAGAACACAAAGAAAAAGCCAAAAAGTGCAAGCAAAAAAAAAGCAGGAAAGAAAGAAAGAAAGAAAGAAAGAAAGAAAGAAAGAAAGAAAGAAAGGAAGGAAGGAAGGAAGGAAGGAAGGAAGGAAGAAAGAAAGAAAAGGAAAGATAAAGAAAAAGGAAGGAAGGAAGGAAGGAAGGAAGGAAGGAAGGAAGGAAGGAAGGGAGGGAGGGAGGGAGGGAGTGAATGATAAAAGAGAAGAATGAATGAATGAATGAATGAATGAATGAATAAGAAAAAAGGAAGGAAGGATAAAGGAAAGAAGGAAGGGAGTGGGGAAAGAGAAGAAAGAAAGAAAGAAAGAAAGAAAGAAAGAAAGAAAGAAAGAAAGAAAGAAAGATGGATAAAGAAAAAGGAAGGAATGAATGGAATGGGGAAAGAGAAGAAAGAAAAGAAAGAAAGAAAGAAAGAAAGAAAGACAGAAAGGAAGAGAAAGGAAGGAAGGAAGAGAAAGAAAGAGAAAGAAAGAAAGAAAGAAAGAAAGAAAGAAAGAAAGAAAGAAAAGAAGAAAGAAAAGAAGAAAGAGAAAGAAAGAAAGAAAGAAGTGGCTTCTAATATTCTTCACAGCTGTTAAAAGTACAAATGTATTTTAACCTCTCTCCAAAGTTACATCCTATGATTCTTCTTTCTCTGATCCTTTCTACCTAATCCTCCAGAGATCGCAAGTTCATTTTCTTCTTGTTTTTAACGCAAAAAAAAAAAACAAAACCAAACAAACCTCATAAGAGGCTTCAAGAGACAGCAGGTGGTCGGTTCTCATTTGGGAGAAAGACAGAAATAGGAAAACAGTTCTCCAAGGGGGCAGAAAGAAGATTTTGAAAAATACTTACCTTGAGCCTGGACACAGATTTTGTTCCTGCTTTGAGGCTTTGCAAATTAATAATAATAAAAACAAACAACAACAAACAAACAAAAAACACAGGAGAAAGCAGGTTAATCACTGTAACCAAAGGGGCCAGGCAATCTTTTGCAAAACAGTTCACATTTCAAAGATTGCTATACTAAATGTGTGCAAAGAGAGGCAAACAAAAACGAATGAACAAGATTCTTTTCTCTGCAAGATACATCCTGATTGCTCCCCTCAATTCATCAGGATCCCTTGCCCCCCAGTCGCCCCTCTTAAAAGGAAGGTATCATCTGTATAAAGTCACTCCATTCAGGCAGGTGGAAAATAATTAGACACAAGTACACTTTGGAAAGTCCGTATAGTCAAGGCGATGGTTTTCCCAGTTGCAATGTATGGCTGTGAAAGTTGGACCATAAGGAAGGCTGAGCGCCAAAGAATTGAGGCCTTTGAACTCTGGTGCTGGAGAAGACTCCTGCGAGTCCCTTGGACTGCAAGGCAATCCAACCGGTCAGTCCTAGAGGAGATCAACCCTGGCTGCTCTTTAGAAGGCCAGATCCTGAAGAGGAATCTCAAACACTTCGGCCACCTAATGAGAAGGAAGGACTCCCTGGAGAAGAGCCTCATGCTGGGAACAATTGAGGGCAAAAGACAAGAAGGGGACGGCAGAGAACGAGGTGGCTGGATGGAGTCACTGAAGCAGTTGGTGTGAGCTTAAATGGACTCCGGGGCATGGTAGAGGACAGGAAGGCCTGGAGGAACGTTGTCCATGGAGTCACGATGGGTCAAAAATGACTTCGCAACTAATAACAACAATAAATAGATCGATCGACCGTTCCAAGGGACTCCTGAAAGTCCCTTGGCCTGCAAAGTGATCCAACTGGTCGGTCATAGAGGAGATCAACCCTGACTGCTCTTTAGAAGGCCAGCAATAGGGGTGAGTTTTAATGGACTCCAGAGGATGGTAGAGGACAGGAAGGCCTGGAGGAACATTGTCCATGAGGTCACGATGGGTTGGACATGACTTTGCAACTAACAACAACAGACTTTGGAAAAAGTTCTGAGAAGAACAACTAAGATGATTAAAGGCCTGGAGACTAAAACCATACGAAGAATGGCTGCAGGATTTGGGTCTGGCTAGTCTAAAGAAAAGAAGAATTAGGGGTGACATGATAGCAGTATTCCAGTACTTGAGGGGCTGCCACTAAGAAGAGGGGGGTCAAATTATTTTCCAAAGTACCAAAGGGCAAGACAAGAAACAACGGATGGAAATTAACCAAAGAGAGAAGCAACCTGGAATTGAGGAGAAACTTCCTAACAGTGAAGACAATTAACCAGTGGAACAGCTTGCCACCAGAAATCGTGGGCGCTCCATCACTGGAGGTTTTTAAGAAGAGACTAAATGGTCACTTGTCTCAAATAGTTTCAGGGGGCTGGACTAGAAGACCTCCAAGGTGCCTTCCAGCTTATTCTATTTTAAGTAGCAGGGCCATTTCCCGTAAAGGCCCACCAATTTTTAATATTGATTGATCGATCAATATGCAAGGGACTAAAACACAATCATTATTTACGATCACTTTTTTTTTTTTGGCCAATCAAACAAGAAAGGCCTCCTGGTGAAATTATTCTATTTTTTTAAAAAAAAATTGGTTCTCTTCTTTTCATTTTGGATCCTCGTGAGGTTTTTATTTTATGCAGGCCATCTTAGAAACACATAGGTAATTGAGCCCCAGGTAATTTCTGTTGCCGAGACCTTTGTTAAGTGAGGTTTGCCCCCATTTTATGACCTTTCTTGCCACTGTTGTTAAATGAATCACTACAGTTTTCTGGTCCAATCTCCTGTTTAGGATGTCAGCACTTCAAGCTGCATTTACTCTAGTGCTGACATAAGAAGGAGAAGCGGAGGCGTCTGGAAAGGGACGTTTGACTTTTCACCTACTTATTTTCCCTGGAGATAATATCCCCTAGGAGATGGGATGGGAGGGGGGAAATTCCTTTGAGCTGGAGCAGTAGATTAGGGGTAGAATGACTTGGAAGATGGCCAATGAGTGCAGAGGAGTGGGGAAAGGAAAGGGAGGGTTTTGGGTCAGGAAGTCAGTGTTGGCTACGATGGAGTTGGAGTTAGAATGTCGTGCTTAATAAATGGGAGTTTTTCATCGAAGACTTTGTTTGAAATGCAATTTATTTGAGACGACCTCGAAACCTGACACAGGGAAGAAATCCTATACCCAAGAGGAGCCTTGGAGGTACAGCGGACTAAAGTGCTGTTAAGTAGCACTTAGCTGCCAGCTGCCTGCAATTACTGCGAGTTCAAATCTCACCAGGCTCAAGGTTGACTCAGCCTTCCATCCTTCCAAGGTAGGTAAAATGAGGACCCGGATTGTGGGGGCAATAAGCTGACTTTGTATAAAAAAGAACACCACTTGGGGGGGGGCCGAAAGCCCTACTAAGCAGGTATATACAAAAGTATGAAGGCTATTGCTTAACGCATTGTAAGCCGCCCTGAGTCTCCGGAGAAGGGCGGCATATAAACCGAACCAATAAATAAATAAATAAATGATGACGAATCTATGGCACGTATGCCACAGATGGCATGTGGAGCCATATCTGTGGGTATGCGAGCTGTTGCCCTAGCTCAGCTCCAGTGCGCATGCCTGCGCTGGCCAGCTACCTTTCGGCTGGCCCCGTCCACACAGCCCCTCCCCACCCAGGAGTCTCCACGCAGCCCCTTTTTGAATGCCAGGTAAGTGGCATCCTTACCTGGGGGGGCAGGGGGGCTGTTTTCGCCCTCCCCAGGCTCCAGGAAAGCCTCTGGAGCCTGGGGAGGGCAAAAAACGGGCCTACCGGAAGTCTGGAAACAGGCCATTTCCGGCCTCCGGAGGCTTCAGGGAGGCCTGCTAGGCCCAAAATGGGGTGTGTGTGGGGGGTGTTGTGTGCGCATGTGTGGGGGAGCATGGGGGTCATGCGCATGCACAGGGCGCAGAGGGGCATTGAATTATGGGTGTGGCCACGCGCACGCGTGACCCCCCCCGTGCTCCTCCCACTTTTGGCACGCGACAGCAAAAAGGTTAGCCATCACTCTCCTAAATGGTTATCCAAGGATATCAGGGTTTCCTGTCTAAGCAGGGGGTTGGACTAGAAGACCTCCAAGGTCCCTTCCAAATCTGTCATTCTAGTCTATTCTAAATAGTTGTTAATAACATCGTTGTTAAGTGAATCAGGGTTCCCCATTGACTTTGCTGGTTAGAAAGTCGCAAAAGGGGATCACATGATCTGAGGATACGGCAACCGTCATAAATACGAGTCGGTTGCCGAGCGTCTGAATTTTGATCACATGACCATCGGATGCTCCGATGGTGCTAAGTGTGGAAAATGGTTCTACAACCCATTTTTTCAGTGCTGTTGTTAACTTTGGACAGTCACAAAAGGAATGATTGTAAGTCAAGGATTATCTGTTTTTCCGGGTCATTTTGGGTCATTTTGGGCTTTGATCCTATGCAGGCCATTCAGAAATATATTCAAGGGAAGGAAGGAATAAATAAAGATCTCAATGCTGGCTTTAAAAACTGGGCAGTCTAAAGGCACAGCCAAGAAGGTGAAGCTGCCTAGATTTCTGGTTAAAATTACTCCTTTTAAAAAGCAGCTTGTGAGGTGACGTCAGAAGCTAATCAGAGCTGGCAGCCTTCAATGAGCTTCAATCAATATTTGTGGTAAGCAGCAATCAATTTCTGTAACTTGATACAATTATCAGGTTTTTAGCAAAGCGGATTTTTAAGGGAGAGAGAGAAAGAGAGAGAGACAGAAAAGCAGAGAGAGAGGAGAGAGAAAGAGAAAGAAAGAAGAGAGAGAAAGAAGAGAGAAAGAGAGGGAGAGAGAGAAAGAGAGGAGAGAGAAAGAAGAGAGAGAGAGACAGAAGAGAGACACACACAGAGAGAGAGAGACACACAGAGAGAAAGAGACAGACAGACAGACAGAGAAGGAGGAGAGAGAGAGAAAGAAAGATAATGAAAGAGACCAGAAAGAGTAAGCGAGAAAGAAAGAGAATGAGAGAGAAAGAAAGAAAAAGAGAGAGAAGAGAGAGAGGAGAAAGAAAGAATGAAAGAGACAGAAAGAGTAAGAGAAAAGAGACAGAGAAAGAGAGAGAGACAGAGAAGGAGGAGAGAGAGAGAAAGAAAATAATGAAAGAGACAGAAAGAGTAAGCGAGAAAGAAAGAGAATGAGAAAGAAAGAAAGAAAAAGAGAGAGAAGAGAGAGAGGAGAAAGATAATGAAAGAGACAGAAAGAAAAAGAGAGAGAGATAGTCATTTTCCCGCACTATTTTTCTACCATTTATTAGACTTATTTGTCTTCCTGGGCAAATGACAAACCCCCACTGTCATCATTACGGAGGTTTAAAAAGAAAAATCAAAAGGAAGAAAAAAAGGAACAAGAACAGTTAATGAAGGCCGCCATTCGGAGAGACCGGGGGAGGGGGGGAGATTGCCCACAAAAGAGGCTTAATTTGCTTTCAAGGCAGAGAATCATAGCAGAAGAGGGCACTTATCTAGAGTATTTCTTTTTGAAGGTATCAAAATAAATTAAAGCCCTGTCTGTGATTGCTATCAAATACTGTATTTACGTAAAAAGCCATTCTCCTCCCGTCTCCAGCACCGCTGAACCAAATCTGTCTTTTCATGGTAGGCCTGCAAAATACCGCTTTCAAGCCAGACAGAAGCCTAAATTAGCTCCCGCAGCCTCAAGCCTTGTGTTTCTAGCTTCGTTCAGGTTGCAGATCCAAGTTCCCAGCAGCTCTTAACCTTGGTTTGCCAATGCACAGGTAAGCCCCCAAAATTAGCAGGCCGCTTGCGCCCACCTGTTTCTAAAAAGCGGACTTCGGAATGGCAGATGGTTTGACTGTCGTTGCAATCTGAACTCTGCAAGGTTGGGAGGCTGATTTGTCGGGGAAGGGGAGGTACAACGGCCGAGAGCCGTTGGGTGCGCGTGTACAGAGTGAGCACAAAAATGGATAAAATGAGGTTTGCAGAAAGTTGGTCCATGGTTTGCCAAGAGGAGAAAGGTGAGAGCCAGAGGGACCAGGAGGGAGGGGGAGGAGGGAGGAAAGGAAGGCTGTTCCCCATTCAAGTTGATGTGTTGATAAGGAGGAGGAGAGAAGGAGGAAGAGATATCTTGGAGGAGGAGGAGGAGAAAAAAAAGAGGAGGAAAGCTGTTTCCCATTCAAGTTGATAGAGAAGAAGAGGAGAGAGAAGGAGGAAGAGATATTTTGCAGGAGGAGAAGGAGAAGAAGAGGTGGAGGAGGAGGAAGAAGGAAAAGAAGAAGAGGAGGAGGAAAGCTGTTTCCCATTCAAGTTGATAGAGGAGAGAGAAGGAGGAAGAGATATCTTGCAGGAGGAGGAGGAGAAGGAGAAAGAGGTGGAGGAGGAGGAGAAGGAAAAGAAGAAGAGGAGGAGGAAAAGGAGAAGAAGAGGAGGAGGAGGAGAAGGGGAGGAGGGGAAGAAGAGAAGGAGGAGGAGGAGAAGTGGAGGTGGAGAAGTGGAGGAGGAGGAGGAGAAAAGGAGGAGGAGGAGAACAGAAGGAGGAGGAGAAGAAGTGGAGGAGGAGAAGAGGAGGAGAAGAGATGGAGGAGGAGGAGGAGAAAAGGAGGTGGAGGAGGAGAAGGAGAAAAAGAAGAGGAGGAGGAAAGCTGTTTCCCATTCAAGTTGATGTGTTGATAGAGAAGAGGAGAGAGAAGGAGGAAGAGATATCTTGCAGGAGGAGGAGGAGGAGGAGGAGGAGGAGAAGGAGAAGAAGAGATGGAGGAGGAGGAGAAGAACAGAAGGAGGAAGAGAAGAAGTGGAGGAGGAGAAGAGGAGGAGAAGAGATGGAGGAGGAGGAGGAGGAGAAAAGGAGGTGGAGGAGGAGGAGAAGAAAAAGAAGAGGAGGAGGAAAGCTCTTTCCCATTCAAGTTGATGTGTTGATAGAGAAGAAGAGGAGAGAGAAGGAGGAAGAGATATCTTGCAGGAGGAGGAGGAGGAGGAGAAGGAAAAGGAAAAGGAGAAGAAGAAGAGGAGGAGGAGGAGAAGAGAAGGAGGAGGAGGGGGAGGAGGGAGAGGAGGAGGAGGAGGAGGAGGAGGAGGAGGAGGAGGAGGAGGAGAAGAAGAAGAAGAAGAAGAAGAAGAAGAAGAAGAAGAAGAAGAAGGGTGTCTGATCAATTTCTTTCTTTTCACATGAATATCAAATCTGTTGTTATCTTTGAAGGTCCCCAATGAGGATGAGGAAGAGGAGAAGCAAGCAGAAGGGAGGAGGAAAAGTGTTCCCCACTCAAATTTGTACTAGTGTTAATGGAGAAGAAAAGGAGGAGGAGGAAGAGATATTTTTTCATTGACAATGAGGATGAAGATCAAGAGGAGGAGGAGGAGGAAGAGATGTAGCTTCAAAGCTGATCAGTCTCTGTCTTTTCACATGAATGTTAAATATGTTTTTACTACTGAAGGTCCTGGAGGAGGAGGAGGAGGATTGGCAGAGCCTTGGTAGTACAGGGGTTTAAGGCACCCTGTTATTAAGCTGATTATTAAGACCAGCTGCCTGCAATTACTGCAGGTTCGAATCTCACCAAGGCTCAAGGTTGACTCAGCCTTCCATCCTTTCTAAGGTAGGTGAAATGAGGACCCAGTTTGTGGGGGCAATAAACTGACTTTGTATAAATATACAAAAAGTATGAAGGCTATTGCTTAGCGCATTGTAAGCCGCCCTGAGTCTCCAGAGAAGGGCGGCATATAAATCAAATTAAAAAAAAAAAAAATTGGCATGACTTAAGCCTGGTGAGCAAAATCCTTGCAGAAGAACTTCAAGCTCAAAACCAAAAAAGGTTCAAAGGCAAAGGGAAGCCAATTAAAAAAAGAGACACAAAATAAAAACTCTGTCCAGCCCCAAGCCTCACCTACCCAATACGTTGCAGCTGCTTCTTTCATGGCTTCGGTGAAGGACACAGCAAACCTAGAGACATGGAGAAGAAAGTACTTCTGAACGTGATGGACTAAAAAGCACACTCTAACTCACAATCTTTGTGTTCACAGCAAACGGGATCCTATTTAGCAATTGGGGTCTCATCCAGAGAGGTTCCCCAAAACGGGGCCTTTGACAAAACGGGCTCTGAATCTTAGGATTCCACCACCCAAATGTCCAGAGTTGAAGACTTTCCAAGATGAAGTCTTGAAGAAGGTTGACTTACAGATCCTTTGCCCCAGCCTAAGGAAGGTCCAAACACTCTATGGAGATTCTCTCTCTTTTTTTAAAAAAAACTTTTTATTAAACATTTTTTAAAAAACAAAAAAGGATCTTTAACAATTTTTTCTTTCCAACAATTTCGCATTGGTAAAACATTTCTTACTTATCCATTTCTTCTCCTTTATTTCAATGTATCCTTTATACGTATAATTCTAATATTGATTTATTTACATATATACCAGTGTTGGGTTTCAAAAATGTTTACTACCGGTTCTGTGGGCATGGCTTTGTGGGCGTGGCGTGGTGTGGTGGGCATGGCTTGGTGGGTGTGGCAGGGGAAGGATACTGTAAAATCTCCATTCCCAACCCCTCCAGGGGAAGGTTATTGCAAAATCCCCATTTCCTCCCGATCAGCTGGGAGGCAGAGAATAGATGGGGGCGGGGCCAGTCAGAATTTTTACTACCGGTTCTCCTAACTACTCAAAATTTCCATTACCGGTTCCCCAGAACTGGTCAGAACCTGCTGAAACCCACCTCTGATACATACATAAATAACAGCGTACACAATTTCATTTCTACAATCTGCATTTTTTCTGTTTCCTCTTATTTGTTATTACATTTCTACTCCTATATCTTCCTTATTTGATCTTTCCTTGCCTTTTATCTCTCTCCTCTAACCATTCATACAATTTCTCCCATACTATATAATATTCTGTTTCCTCTTTTTCTTGTATCTCCTTTGTAAGTTTGTCCATTTCTGTACATTCCAAAACATTTCTAATCAAATTATCTTTGGTTGGTATATTATTGTTTTTCCAATTTTATATGTATATTATTCTTGCTGCTGTGATAATATGAATAATTAAATATTGTTGTTTTTTTTATAAGACCCTGGGAGTATTCCTAATAAAAATATTTCTGGCTTCATCTCTATATGTTATTTGGTTATCTCTTCTAAGTGTAATCTAATTTTACTCCAATACTGTTTTGCCTTGGGGCATATCCACCACATGTGGTAGTATGTTCCTCTTTGTTGTTTGCATTTCCAGCATATTATTGGTATTGGGAAACATCTTAGCCAGTCTTGCTGGTGGCAAATGCCACCTATAGAACATTTTATACATATTTTCTTTATAGGATACAGACATTGTCAGTTTATAATTTTTATTCCATAATTTCTCCCATCTATGGAGATTCTCAATCATCCAGATCACGGTTATATCGAAGGTGCTTTTCCAAAAAGGCACTGGACATCCTTAGTTTCGCTTCTCATCCAAGAACTGAAGAAGCTTCTTGGATGAGCAGCAAAAAGCTTTCAAAGAAAACACTGAGAAAGTCCTGTGGCCTTTTGAACAACAACAAAAAAAAAAACAATTTTGGGACAAAGATCCAAATAGATGTTGATTGATTCAGGGTGTGACAATAAGGAGGAGTAAGAGAACATTTCTTTACCTGGCTTCATCCAACACCTTCTCCATAATTTTGGCCTTTTCCTCAATTTTGGCATCTTCATTAACATCCGTGCCTCCAAAGATAATGCCAAAAGGAATGGGACTTCCTGAAAAATGGAGAATTTCAACAGTTCTTCTTAATCCAGTGGCACAAATGGTTCCCCTTGGTCAACCTAACTTAACTCTGGGATCAGTGTTGGTTGAAACCCTTCCAAAGAGACTAAAACACATGAAGAATGTTTGCAGAAAATGGGTATGTCTAGCTTAATGAAAAGAAGGACTAGGGGGGACATTAGGGCAGTATTCCAGTATTTGAGGGGCTGCCACAAAGAAGAGGGGGACAAATTATTCTCCAAAGAACCAGAAGGCAAGACAAGAAACGACGGATGGAAACTAATCAAGGAGAGAAGCAACCTGGAAACTTCCTAACAGTGAGAACAATCAACCAGTGGAACAGCTGGCCTCCAGACATTGTGGGTGCTTCACCACTGGAGGTTTTGAAGACGACACTGGACAGCCCCCTAATCTAAAATAGTATAGGGCCTCCTGCTTGAGTTACTGTTAGGAAATGGCTATTGTCTAACTAGTTGGTCAGGCAATATATAAACTATCAATACATGTTTGTCAAAAGGTATTATATTGCTTTAAGACTGTATTGCATCATTCTGTATCCTGATTGGCTAAGCTCTGTAGCCAATGTACTTAAGCGGAAGCCTGAATCATGGCTTGTGGACACTACACCATTTTATCTGCTTATTTGCTGTTACTCTCTACCTGTTCTCTCTGTACGATCACTGTTTGATCATTGCTACTTGTTGCTTTCTACTATTTATTGAATGTTTTAATACTGAACTTGTTCCTGTTTGAAACTCAAGAAGAACTGTTTTATTGCATAATGACAACAACTGGTAAGAAGACTTTGTACTTGGAATATCCCTGAATTGATATTTTAACTATCGCCTTATCTGTGTATGACTTGGATTGTTATTGGACTTTGCTTTACTTTTCTCTAAAAAGTAAAAGACTACCACAACTCAGTGTGTCAGTATATTAACTGTGGTTATTCACTCTCAGCCGCTTTCATGTGCATACTCAAGGGGTACTCTGCTCAATAACCCATAACATCGGTTATGAGCCAAGAATATCCTTAACAGTTACACTAGAACAGGAATGTCAAACTCGGCTTCATTGAGGGTTGCATCAGGGTTGTGTTTGACTTCGGGGGGGGGGGGGGCGGGATGGGTGTGGCCAGCTTGACATCATTCGTGTTGGGGGCGCCTGTGGCCTGAGCACTCTGCCAGCAAAAACAGACTCCGGAGCTCCGTTTTTGGCTGGGACGGCCTCCTGCAACCCTCTGCCAGCGAAAACGGAGCTGGAGGGGGGGGGGCACACGTGGGGCAAGAGGCTGACTCTGTAAGCCCCTTGGAGAGGGTTGTAAACCACTGGGAAGCAGAATATAAGTCTAAGGACTATTGCTAGTGTTATTTCTCTTCCTTTTCTCCTCCCTTCCCTTTCTTCCTGTGCAGTAGTTAGAAAGGAGTATTGCAGGCTAACTCTGCCAACTGCCAAGAGTTCGATCCTGACCAACTCAAGGTTGGCTCAGCCTTCCATCCTTCCGAGGTGGGTTAAATGACCCAGATTGTTGGGCGCAAGAGGCTGCCTCTGTAAACTGCTTAGAGAGGGCTGTAAAGCAGTATATAAGTCCAAGTGCTATTGCTATTAATCAGTCTACTGAAACTAGTTTTTTCATGTTCTCTATTTCCACTGCTTTTCAAAACAATCTTTGGCTATATCTATAGTGGAGTTAAGGTTTCAGGGGGGGAGTTAGTAATCTGAGGATAAGTAGGTTAATCTAGTTTATGATTGTTAAATGAAACACCTTGTATTCTGCTCTGGGAAGTCTGGGGGGCAAGGTGGGATGAGGGGAGGGAAAGGGTGGGGGGAACATGGGGGGGAAGAAAATTTTTGTTTTTCTGTAAAACTTTTCAATAAAAAAAAAAACAATCTTTGGCTAAACTCCTAAGCTGGAAGAGACCTTGGAGGTCTTCTAGTCCAACCCAAAGTAGGAGCCCATGTCCTGGAGAACTGGTCCAACTTGGAAAATGTCTGTGAAGAGGAGTATAAGTCTAAGGGCTATTGCTATTTCTCTTCCTTTTCTCCTTCCTTCCTTCCTTCCTCCCTCCCTCCCTCCCTTCCTTTCTTTCCATACCAGTGGTTAGAATATAGTATTGCAGGCTAACACTGCCCACAGCTGGCAGTTCGATTCTGACCAACTCAAAGTTGACTCAGCCTTCCATCCTTCCAAGGTGGGTAAAATGAGGACCCAGATTGTTGGGGGCAAGAGGTCGACTCGGTAAAACCGCTTAGAGAGGGCTGGAAAGCACCGTCAAGTGGTATATAAGTAAGTACTTTTGCTATTTAGTCATATTAAGTGGTCTTTTCAAACAGAAATCCAAGACAAGCCGTCTTTCAGATTGTTTTTGGCCAAATCTTTCAGATTGTTTTTGGCCAAATGGAAGCCACCAGGGTGGATAAAAATCAATCATTTTTTAAAAAAAAATAAAAAAAAATGGATTTTTTTTATTTAAATCGGATTTTTTTAATTTAAATCGGATTTTTTTTATTTTTATCGAATTTATTTTAATAAAAAACTTTTGGGGTAAAAATCTATCGTAAGATAGTTTTCTGTTTAAGATACATAAATAATTTAGTTTATTCAGCATGAAATGGAGCTTAGTTATGTAGCATGAGGCTGTATATTCTGCAACACTGGGACTATCGGTGAGTCAACAGTGGGTCAAAGGAGTAGCAGAGATGACAGCTGCTCTTTAAAAATGATGATTTAAATCGAGTTGACTTAAATCAAGCCTTTTTACTAGTGATTTAAATTGTGATTTAAATTTATTTATTTATTTATTTATTATATTTCTATACCGCCTTTCTCCCGTAGGACTCAAGGCGGTGTACAGTCAAGAAAAATATAGATACACAAACATCATAAAATTGCTAATTAAAATTGTTACTTAGTTTGGTCAATTAAATAAAACCCAGAATTAGATAACATTTAAAAAATCATTCACATGTTCATATGTTTAGCCCCGCCTGTTGGAACATCAGGGTCTTGAGGGCACGGCGGAAAGCACGGAGACCAGGGATATTCCGTATCTCCGGGGGCAGTTCATTCCAAAGGGTTGGAGCCCCCACAGAGAAGGCCCTCCCCCTGAGAGTCGCCAGTCGGCATAATTTGACTGACGGTACCCTGAGTAGTCCCTCCCTGTGAGAACGAACTGGTCGGTGGGAGGCTATTGGTGGCAAAAGACGGTCTCGTAGGTACCCAGGTCCTAAGCCATGGAGCGCTTTAAAGGTGATAACTAACACCTTGAATCGCACCCGGAAGACCACCGGGAGCCAGTGCAGCTCGCGTAGGAGAGGTGTTACATGGGCGTAACGAGCTGCGCCCATAATCACCCACGCGGCTACATTCTGGACCAGTTGGAGCCTTCGGGTGCTTTTCAAGGGGAGCCCCATGTAGAGAGCATTACAGTAGTCCATACGGGAGGTAACTAGGGCATGAGTGACCGTGCGCAAGGCGTCCTGATCCAGAAAGGGACGCAACTGGTGGATCAGGCGAACCTGAGAAAAGGCACCCCTGGCCACGACCGTCAAATGATCTTCTAAAGATAACCGTGAATCCAGGAGGACACCCAAGTTGCGGGCCCTCTCTGTGGGGAGCAAGATCTCATCCCCTATTGTCAGTGATGGTACCAGCTGACTATACCGGGACGCCGGAAGCCACAGCCACTCGGTCTTGGAGGGGTTGAGTCTGAGCTTGTTTCTCCCCATCCAGATCCGCACGGCCTCCAGGCAACGGGACATCACAGCAAGGGCATCATTGGGGTGGTCTGGGGTGGAGATGTATAGCTGTGTGTCATCAGCATACTGATGAACACTCACCCCAAAACCACGGATGATCTCACCTAGCGGTTTTACATAAATGTTGAACAGAAGGGGTGATAGGACTGACCCTTGTGGCACCCCACAAATAAGGTGCCTCGAGGTCGATCTCTGCCCCCCTGCCAACACAAACTGCGAACGGTCAGAGAGGAAGGAGGAGAACCACCGAAGCACGGTGCCCCCTATTCCTAACCCCTCCAGCCGGTGCAGTAAGATACCATGGTCGATGGTATCAAAAGCCGCTGAGAGATCTAATAGGACCAGGATAGAGGAGCAACCTCTGTCCCGAGCCCTCCAGAGATCATCCACCAATGCGATCAATGCCGTTTCTGTGCTGTATCGCAACCTGAAGCCCGACTGGAACGGATCCAGATAGACAACTTCATCCAGGTATCGGGGTAGTTGTCGCGCCACCACACTCTCAACAACCTTCACAACAAAGCGAAGATTGGAGACTGGACGATAACTCGATTTAAATCAAATCCATCCTGGAAGCCACCCATCCTCTCAAACCTGTTCTATCCTGCCCGCCTTGTCGTTACAAAGAAGAGCAGTTTGCATTGTGCCTTTTCAAATCAAGAATCCCTCTGCTGCCAACAGTGATGCTCAAAAGCAGTGATGCTGACAAAACTATAAAACTCCTCCTTTTAAAAAAATGCATTAGAAGAGTGGAAGGGAAGGGAAGAAACAATTAACTGGGCAGTTTTACACTCCATTAAGCTAACAAACAGCAGCGGTGATGGCAGCTAATTAGGAACAAGGCTGCTTTTAAATTCTAGGTAGAACGAGTTCACTTGTTAAAAAGGAATCAGGTAAACTGTCAAGAACTGGCTGTCAGAGGAATTTCGTGACCTATTTTACCAGCTGTTCTCCAATGTCCGCTTTTCTGGAGAGGTTGGTCAGATGGTCCAGCATCTCTGGACATCAGCAAGTTGGGAGAGGGAGGGGGATGCAGGCAGACATGAAAACAATAAGTCACTGATGCAGGGTGGATTTGATGTAACTCGAGTTGATTTAAATCACAATTTAAATCATGATTTAAATCACTAGTAAAAAGGCTTGATTTAAATCAACTCGATTTAAATCATAATTGTTAAAGAGCAACTGTCATCTCTGCTACTCCTTTGACCCGCTGTTGACTCACCGATAGTCCCAGTGTTGCAGAATATACAGCCTCCTGCTACATAACTAAGCTCCATTTCATGCTGAATAAACTAAATTATTTATGTATCTTAAATAGAAAACTATCTTACAATAGATTTTTACCTCAAAAGTTTTTTATTAAAATAAATTTGATAAAAATAAAAAAAATCCGATTTAAATTAAAAAAATCCGATTTAAATAAAAAAAATCTTTTTTTTTTATTTTTTTAAAAAAATCATTGATTTTTATCCACCCTGCACTGATGTTGAAATGCCAATTAAAAGCATTTTTTTGGAGAGGACCAATCAACAGATGGCTTCTGTTGAATTCCTTATTCTCCTGCTAAAATGGAGATTTCACGTCAATAGAAAAGATTTGGGCCTATGGTTAGGCCAAATAACAGATCCTCAGTGCAAAACATCTACATAACCAGTAGAGGGTAGCAGAGTGGTACAGAAAACTAGGTCTCTGCCTCCACCTAGGGGTTATGCATATTATTGCAGCCCGGTTATAACAGACTTACCAACGCTATACCACACGTTTTAGAAAAGCAACTTAGACTTTTGTCAAAAAACAACAACACTGTTTTCCATTCCTTTTGTAACCAAAAGACCTTATCTTACCTTGAAGAAGTTTTCCAGCTTTAAAGAGATGGATGCCCAGAGCTGCCTCCAATTTCTCCGAAGAGATGAGAGTTGAAATTGCCAACGGGGACTCATAATCAGAGGTGTCCTTCAAGATACACAAATGCCCAGCAGCTTGTAAATGATCTCTTTGGAAAACAGGAACAGACGGAATAATTTTTTTTAAAAAAAGACAGCATATTAGCATTATTATATTATGTTAGTCATCACCTTTAAAGCGCTCCATGGCTTAGGACCTGGTACCTATGAGACCATCTTTTGCCACCAATAGCCTCCCACCGACCAGTTCCTTCTCACAGGGAGGGACTACTGTTATAATAATAATTTTAATTAGCAATTTTATGATGTTTGTGTATCTATATTTTTCATGACTGTACACCGCCTTGAGTCCTACGGGAGAAAGGTGGTATAGAAATATAATAATAAATAAATAAAAATAAAAAATTAATTTCTGCGAGGGAAATAAGGCCATGAAGTTCTATTTCAGGTAGTCTTCCTTGTACAACCAAAATTGGGAACAGGATTTCCACTATAACACAAATCAGAATTTTTTTCTTTCTTTCTACTGTACCAATAATCATGATTTACATTCTTGCTCAGAGGAATAGGCTTGCAAATTGCCAACAATTTGAAACTCATTTCCTAATGAGACTCAGGAGAGATATTAGCAGCTGAAAGAATTTTCCTGAAATTGCATCAAACGTTTTCCCACCAGCATGGATTGCAATTGACCAATGGAACTAAAACATACGATGAACGGTTGCAGGAACTGGGCCTGGCTAGTTTAGTGAGGAGAAGGACCAGGGGAGACAGGATAGCATCTTCCAATATTTGAGGGGCTGCCACAGAGAGGAGGAAGGGGGTCAAGCTGTTTTCCAAGGCACCCAAAGGCCAGACAAGGAATAATGGATGGAAACTGACCAAGGAGAGATTCAACCTGGAAATGAGGAGCAATTTTCTGACAGTGAGAGCAATCAACCCATGGAACAGAAGTTGCCTTCGGAAGTTGTGGGAGCTTCATCATTTGAGACTTTCAAGAAGAGACTGGACTGCCATCTGTCATAAATGGTGTAGGGTCTCCTGCTTGGGTGGGGGGTTGGACTAGATGACCTACAAGATCCCTTCCAACTTTGTTATTCTGTATTGAATGGAACAGAAGTTGCCTTCAGAAGTTGTGGGAGCTTCATCACTGGAAGCTCTCAAGAAGAGACTGGACTGCCATCTCCTAGAAATGGTGTAGGGTCTCCTGCTTGGGCGTGGGGTTGGACTAGATGACCTACAAGATCCCTTCCAACGCTTGTCAATCTAATCTAACTTTTTCCCTCTAGGAATATTTAAAAAAATTCCATTCTCATGTAAACCGTGATATTCCTTGTGATCCTCTATGGAAGTAAAAGCTGGACTTTCAAGAAGCTGTGCGGGAAGAGGATTTGCTCAATAATCCCTTGACTTTTTCGTTTTCTTGTCTGCCTGCAACATGCGCAGACGCGTTCTTCCACAAAGTTCAAAAGTTCTTGAACTTTGAGGGAGTACCATGTTTGCAGGTTGTGCATAGAATCAACAGGCGGGCCAAGCTAAGATCCAAACACCTCCTATAAAATGGGTGTATTACACAGCCACACCCACCCAAATATACATTGTTTGACATCCAGGTTAAAAATCTAACACAGAAGACACAAAGTATCCAGAAGGCAAAATAACCACCTAAAAAAGTATAAAAACCGCCACCCAAGGACACAAAAGAAGTAGCCAGCATAACAAAACAAACACAAAAAGTTACATTCCCACCACCCGATTTCCCCCATTGCAGATTAAACTCTCATAGATGCACCGAAAGAGTTTTTTTTTAAACAACAACCGGGCAATCATTAAAAATTTTAATTTTAATTTTAAATGGGGGTATTTAAATTGTTGGGCCAAATTGTTTAATATATTTTAAATTGCTTTTAAATTTTGTATTTTATGTTTTTTTTACCTTTGGCTGTCCACCGCCCTGAGTCCTTCGGGAGAAGGGCGGTATATAAATTTAAATATAAATAAATAAATGAAATAAAAATTCAACAGGTGTAGCCCAGCTGCAAAGGTTTGGCCCTTTGCAGCCTTGCCCGGCTGCACCGGACGGACTCCCGCCTGCTCCCCCATCTTAATTGCTCTGCATAGATTTGCACCGGGCTGATTTCAGCCTGGGGGGTTGCAAAGCCTTGCATGGAGGAGGGGGGAACTTACTGGATCCTCCGGGCGGTGGTCCCATTGCCCGTCTGGGCTCGCCCGGGAGCCAAGAGCAATAGCCGCATGGCGAGTCGGCAGCTGTGCCCTACTTCCGGCGAGGTCCCTGGCGGCTTCATTCCCTCCTTTTCCAAGCACCGGAAGCCAGGGGCTCCTCTTCCGCTCTTGCCGCGACTCTATGGTCCCGCTCCCTTCGGCTGCAGCAGTCCGCCGTAAGGAAAGGGCCCCCACTCCCAAGCAACAAGGTGGGCGGCCATGCCGTTCCGCTTAAAGGGGACGCTGATGTTTTTAACTGTGGCCATTTATTCCCCTGGTCACTTTTTAAAAATGTTTTACCGGTTTTTTTATTGTTTGTAAGCTGCCTCCAGACGAGATGAACGGCACACAAATCTGATTAGATAGATAGATAGATAGATAGATAGATAGATAGATAGATAGATAGATGGAGAGATGGAGAGATGGATGGAGAGATAGACAATGATGGATGAGGGATGGATGGAGAGATAGAGACAGACAATGATAGATGGATGGATGGATGGAAATATTAACAGATTAAAGATTAACAGAGTTGGAAGGGACCTTGTAGGTCATCTAGTCCAACCCCCCGCTAGTCATCTAGTCCATCCGGATTGAAGGATGGATGAATGGAGAGACAGACAGATGGACAGACAGACAGGCAAAGACAGACAATGATGGATGGATGATGAATGGAGAGAGAGATAGAGACAGTAATGGATGGATGGAAATATTAGCAGATTAAAGATTAACAGAGTTGGAAGGGATCTTGTAGGTCATCTAGTCCAAGCCCCCGTTAGTCATCTAGTCCATCCGGATGGATGGATGGATGGATGGAGACAGACAAAGACAGACAATGATGGATGGATGACGAATAGAGAGAGAGATAGAGACAGACAGACAATGATGGATGGATGGATGGAAATATTAACAGATTACGGATTAACGGAGTTGAAAGGGACCTTGTAGGTCATCTAGTCCAACCATCCGCTAGTCATCTAGTCCATCCGGGTGGATGGATGGAGAGACAGACAGACAGAGAGACAATGATGGATGGATGAAGAGACAGATAGTAATATAGACTGTAGAATGTGTGCATGAGTCTGAGATCTAATTCAAAGAAATTCAAAAGAACAGTGCCTTATATTAGGTAGATGATATTCTACTGTGTGCTCTTTATTGTCTCTTAAGAAAAAATATTGTATTGAGATAAATGGTTGCAGAGATGTTTTTTTAATAGCCTAGATTAGTGTTTCTCAGCCTCTCTGGTTTTAAGATGTGTGGACTTCAACACTCAAGAATCCACAGTTATTTATTTATTATTTATTACATGTATTTATATGCCGCCATTCTCCCGAAGGACTCAGGGCGGCGAACACAAGTTAAGAAACAAGTACAATAAAATCATAATTTAATCCAAATAATTAATCAGTAGTAAATAATAAAGCCCGGAATCAGTCTCAGCCTATTTGTTTGAAAAACCAAGTCTTCAAGTCCCGACGGAAGGAGCGGAGATCAGGAGCCGTCCGGAGCTCAGTAGGTAATTCATTCCAGAGGGTGGGAGCACCCACAGAGAACGTCCTACCCCTGGGCACAGCAAGGTGACATTGGCTCGCCGTCAGAACCCCGAGGAGAGCGGCCCTATGTGAGCGAACAGGACGATGAGAGTTTCTGAATTCCTCAATCCTTTTCAGGTCTCTTTAGCAGCAGAAACGTTTTATTATTCTCAAACCGACTTAAGCAGTGGGAACAGAAATTAAATTGATAACAGTAGCATGATCAATATTTTTCAGCTGCAGTTGTCAATGAACTTCCTGTCCAAAGGCAAGCAGGGTTTTCTCTCTTGTGACTGACAGATGTCAGAAAGAAACTGGAAACCGGACAGTCAATCTGTTGACTGTTGAGTTTCCTTAAAAACTCTGATTTCTTTCAGTCTCACCACTATCTGCATTTGAGGGGTTTTTTTCTCCTCCTCCTAGAAGAGAGAAAGCAGCTAGTTTCTGATTTTAAAGCAAGATCTTTTCGACTTATCTCTCGAAATATAAAGAAGTGGCTTTATCATCTGACATCTCAAGTCTAAACCTTCTTGGCTCAGGAAGGCAGGCTTTGAATTCTCTAGGCTAGCAGAAATCCAAAGAGATAAACGCTTTGGGGGCTGTGAAGTACAAAGTCTATCATCCCCAGCCAACATGGGAATGACAGTTCAACATCACCGGAAATGCTTAGGGTAGAAAAAGCTGGATTGATTGTGCCTCAAAATCTGTGCGGAGAAAAACATAATCTCGCAATAACAATAACTATGATTCAGATTCCAGGCAAAAAAAAATTGTTATCAGACTCCTGAATGGTGCAATTCTTTCTACTGAGGATTCTGATTTATTTACTGACTGGCGTTGCATGTTATTTTTATTCTACTACCTACTATTGTACTTTTCCTTCCTGTATTTCTACATTTGGTATTTCATTCTTACTTCTCCTTATCTACCCAAACTTGTCAATTAAGCGCTGTGTATATTTGCATATGTGTATATATATTCACTTCCTTTTTAGGTTTGAGATTCATTGCTTGCTGGCTTTCATAAAGCAATTGGATTTGCATTGCTTAATTATTATCAAATTCGTAGAACCCTGCTGGAATCCGGATCCTTAGAAAAACTTGAAATCGCATCCGTCTCAGATCCCTAAAAGTGATATTGCCATTCAAGTGAAGGAAGGGGGAGACTGGATTCGATTTACTAGCATGACCTGTGTCATCAGATATTTTACAACCTATATCCTGGCGCCAAAGAGCCCTGAGATCCCCTTTACCTGGAGGAATTTATATGATAGCCATGTGGGTTGTCTCACTTTAAAGGGTAGTGGTGGGAATGCATGTTTGTTCGGGTTCTCAAAGGAAATAGTAAAGAAAACATCTTCACACTTGTGTATTGGCTAAAATCTGCATTCTGACTTAAAGGGAGTGGTCTCTACCACTTTATTGGAAATGCGTAAGATCTCCGACCTCCGGGTATTTCGTTGTGCATTCAAGACCCTGTTGTTCCGCCAGGCTGGGCTATCAACCTAACAATTTTAAATTGGGTTTTAAATTCCTGAGGTTTTAAATTGAGCCGAATTCATTTAATAATTTTAAACTTTTTAACTGATCTTGTCTTGTGTTTTTAATAGACTGTACACCACCCTGAGTCCTTCGGGAGAAGGGCGGTATAGAAATAAAATTATTTATTTATTTTATTTATTTATTTATTATTTAATCCTACTGCTTTGCCTAAGGGTATTCAGATTGTGCTTTAGCTGGATGGCTTTCACTTCTGCTTAATAAAAGAATCCTTTTGAACAACTACGTGTCAAGAGTTCGTACTTTCTTAAATTGGAAGGAGAGGCGATCCTTGCAATCCGCTTTTCCCCATTCCAGATAGCAAAGAAACAAACTGCGCCCACAGCAAGAAACCAATGAAAGTCCCATTCAGAGTTTCACTTCTTTGCGAAATTTGGGGACTATCCAAACAGCAGCTGCTGTGGAAGCCCAGCTGCCCCCATCCCGGCTATCTGTGTGCCCAAACAGATCACTCCGGACAGAAATAAACACCCGTGCGTGCAAAAGAGAGCCAAGCACACGCACGCAACCCTATTCCAAAGCATGCTTAGTTTAAAGCATTGCAACATGGTTGCACGTGACAAAAACCCCATGACTCGCTTTGGGCGTGCTCTGTTGTCGAGTCTCTCTTGGTGATCCACCCCCCCCACCCCAAAATAAAAATAAAAAAAAAATAAAGTCCAAAGAAATAAAGAACGAGAAGGGAAAGCACTCCAAAATGGAATAAAGCCGCCTCTGATCCGGCCCGACTCCGAATTGCACCCCTTTAAACGCGCGCTTCCAATTTGAGTTTATTTTTTTGCAAGCGAAACGAGAAAGCAGGAAGAACTGCCTCTTTTTTGCAAATCACGGGGGAGCTCGTGAGCGACGGCGCGCGGCAGCCAATCCGCGAGCGCGGCCCGGGCCGAAAGAGGCGGGCTTAGAGAACAACCTGGGCATTCCCAAGCAAGAAGGCGAAGCGGCGGCCGGCAGGGAACGGCGGCGGGAGGGGGAGAAGGCTCCGGGAACGGCGGCCAGCGTCAGGCTTTTCTAGCGAGGTGTGGGGCGGGGGGTGGGAGGAGAGAATCTGGCGCCGGCTCGGAAGAGCCCCCCGAAACCGGGAGATTACGGGTTCGAATCCCACTTGGGGAAGAGTTTGGGTTTAGAAGTGGGGAGTTTAATTTAAAAGTTTCGGGGTACGGGGTGAGTCCGGCTCTTGGAAGTCACGTCCCCCTTCGTTCTTTAGTTCCTAAGAGGGGATCTGAGCAGCCGAGGCGCTTGGAAGTTGCCTGGAGTAGTAGGGAGGAAGGGTAGGAGGAGGGTGCCAAAGCTGGGTGAAGGTAGTAGGGGAACCCCAAAGGTTCCTTGGTCCCTAAAGGGAGAGGACATTGGAGGGGGACTTAAGGGTTAGTTAGGGGGAGATATTTTTCAGTTGGGTCACCCAACAGGAGAAGTTGAGTAAGGAGTTGGCCAACCAGCAATGCAAGAGGCTGAGTCCAACGAGAGGAGCCCGCTCTTAGAGCCCAACGCTCGGTCGTCCGTCTCCTTCCCTCCGGCCAACGTCTTCCATGGACGGCGCTTGGCGTGTGCTGCGGTGCTTCTAGCGGAGCTGCTGGAGAGGGTGGCCTTCTATGGCATCACCTCGAACTTGGTGCTCTTCCTCAATGGGATTCCTTACAACTGGGAAGGCGCCCAAGCCAGCCAGGCCCTTCTCCTCTTCATGGGCATCACCTACCTGGTCTCCCCTTTTGGGGGCTGGCTGGCCGACGCACTATTGGGCAAGTTCCCCACCATCTTGGTCAGCATGGCGGTCTACCTCTTGGGCATGCTGGCTTTCCCCGCCATGGCCATCCCTCCTAGCCGTCAGTGGCTCTGCGGGGAGCTTCATCCGTGGCCCATTGAGAACTGCTCGTCGCCTCTGCAGAGCAATACCACGTCTGCCCCGTGCCCATCACACGGGGACACGCGTTACTGTCTCTTCGCCACCTATGGCGGCTTGGTGTTGGTTGGGCTGAGCGTGGGCTCCGTGAAGGCCAACATCACCCCCTTCGGAGCTGATCAGGTGATGTAACCTTCATTGATTTCTTCCCTAACAAAGCCTTGGATTGGGTTGTTAAATGGGTGACCAAGCCAACAGGTTGGACAGCTCCACGTCTTGTCCTTGCTGTTGTCCTTAGTTGGTTGGTTTAGATCTTCTTGGAGATGTGGTCCCTGCCAAAACACCATAGGTAAGTAGGAAAACAGGTGATTTCTTAAGATAGGTTCCATGAGAGGTTGGACCGTCCTCGGCTTGCTTTTATAAGGAATTTCTGCACTAATTGGGGAATGGAGGTGGGAAGCTAATTAATAGAGTCTTCCTATTCTAAATATTCCTACTCTGGATATGAAGGGACGTGGTGGCTCAGTGGCTAAGACGCTGAGCTTGTCGATCGAAAGGTCGGCAGTTCAGCAGTTCGAATCCCTAGTGCTGCGTATCGGGGTGAGCTCCCGTGACTAGTCCCAGCTTCTGCCAATCTAGCAGTTCGAAAGCATATAAAAAATGCAAGTAGAAAAATAGGGACCACCTTTGGTGGGAAGGTAACCACGTTCTGTGCGCCTTTGGCGTTGAGTCATGCCGGCCAAATGATCACGGAGACGTCTTCGGACAGCGCTGGCTGTTCGGCTTTGAAACAGAGATGAGCACCGCCCCCTAGAGTTGGGAACGACTAGCACATATGTGCGAGGGGAACCTTTACCTTTACTCTAGATATCTATGATCATCTTCCCCATTTCCAGACTTGGCTGCAGAAGCAACTGGAAAATGGTTTATAGCAACCTTCTCCAATCCGGTGGGACCCATCAACTCATAGGTTTGGCCTCAACGGTCAGTTCAAAGAAGGTTGGGGTGGACAATGCTGAGCTAATGCAGCAATGAGAAGGTTGGGGTGGACAATGCTGAGCTAATGCAGCAATGGCCTCAAATGATGGTTAGCAGCTTTTTGGCCTTCAAGTGATGAGCAGTGATTGATTTTAATGGTGAGACCCACCACATCAACTCATTCCTGTCATATCTTGGTTTTGTGGGTCTGTTGCATGTGACGCTCAGAGGATGGAGTTTTTTCTTAGTTCTCCTCCCATCATCTGTGACTTTGTGGATTTTGAGATTAGCTTCCCATATCTAATCCTCATGATGGTCCTTTCTATCAACTGTCTCCTCCTCTTTGACTCTCCACCACCAAATTTGGGTGCGTGGTGGAAGATTCTCAGAGTTGGTTGGAAAGGCTCTTCATATCGGGAGATACCTTGGAAAGGAAAGGCCCAAGAAAGGGGAAAATTCAAGAATTAAGGGCCATGAATGAGCTAAGCAACACCAGAAGAAAAGCTACCTTTGAAGTGTGTTGTGAATGGATGTCTCGCTCAAGAACGTTGAGATGGCTTTGCTCCCACGCTTGCTTGATTTGAGTTTGTGCGTGACATAAGTACGTTATCGCCATAAACTAATGACCTGAGCCAGTCTACTGTTTGCTTTAGAGGAAGACACAGGAAATCTGAGATAAAGAAATATTTGGTAGGTTCTTCTCAATTCCTTCAACGGTGTCGTGTGAGTGAGATCTCCTTTAACAGATCCCGTTTCTTCTGTTCTCTTGACTTTGGGTTGGACGATGGAGGGTTAAGAAATATTTCTGAGTAGGCCAGATTTAAAATTGGAATCTTCAGCTGCTCTTTAGACCAAATTGTCCTTGTTAATAGTAGATGTTCATGTGCCTTGAATGTGCTTGCTCTGCTTTTTGGGGATATTAGCATCTGTTTCTTGCAAACTCATCCTTCTTCCCCAGTTCTGATGTCTTTGAGATACGTTTACAACTTTACGTTCAGCTTGTTTAAGCTGTGTAACTTTCTGGGTGGCTAAAACAGCTGTGGTTTCGGATCATGAGAGTTGTAGTCATTTGGCCTGCACCAGATTGGGAAAAATAGAGACTGACTTCCTGAAAAATGTGTACCAAACTATTTCCTAGAGGCAGCCGACTGAGTATATATATATAAAAAACATTTATGTTCTATTGAGACAAAGAAATTGGCCTCTTAAACTTCCCAGTATGCTAATTTCTCTCTTTTGCTTACTACGCTGTGTTGTGCTAAATTTCTCTATAATTCTTCCTCTGTGCTAATCGCCCTGACCTGAAATGCACACAATTGTGGCCTTGTGACCAATCAGACATGTGACACCAAAAGGGGAAGGTTTGTTCCAGAAAACACACACAACAACTTGCCTATCGTGAGTTTGGTCCTCCGGATGTTGCCTTCCCCGTCAGCCGGCTGATAGCAAGGAATTCTGGATTTGTAATTCGACAACATCTGGAAGATCCGTCTCTGCGGAAATGAAACTTGGACTTTGAGGAATGAGGATTGATTGACTCATTTGAACTTCGGAAGATTGGAGAAGATTGCCGAGAAGGCCCATGGACAACCAAGACAAGCAGTGGCTCGTCAAACAGATAAATCTAGAGTTCTCACTCAAGGCGTGAATGATCAGGTTCAAATTGTCCTACATTATGTGAAGAAACTCTGGAGAAAGGTTCAGATGCTAGAAAAGGTGGAAAGAAAGGGAAGGAGAAGATGAGATGGATGGACTCAAGTTACAGTGATGATAGGGCCACCATGGGAAGAGATTCTTGAAGACATCCTTCCGGAGAACATTTATGTATATGGTCGCTGAGAGTCAACTCCATGGCATTCAGTCAGTCACAGATGAAATCAAATTTCTGATTCCTATCGATCAACTACTTCTGTTGACTTAAGATCAGAGGTGAAATCCAGCAGGTTCTGACAGGTTCTGGAGAACCGGTAGCGGAAATTTTGAGTAGTTCGGAGAACTGGCAAATAGCACCTCTGGCTGGCCCCAGAGTGGGGAGGGAATGGGGATTTTGCAGTATCTTTCCACTAGAGTGGGGTGGGAATGGAGATTTTGCAATATCCTTCCTCTGCCACGCCCACCAAGCCACGCCCACAGAACTGGTATGGACAAAAATTGGATTTCACCCCTGCTTAAGATGTAAACCAGGGATGTCCAACCTTGGAAACAAGACCCGTGGACTTAAATTCCCCAGCCAGCATACAGGCGTGGTATTTACTTACTTTCCCTACCAGTTTGCAAATGTGAGCATGTGCACGCTCTCGCTTCGCTCACATGTGCCCCATCCACACCTGTGCCCGCCCTTCCATGCATGTGCTTTGCTGGTGCGTGTGCCTTCTGTGCATGTGCCCGGCCTCAAAAACGTGCCTAAATGGCAAAGAACCGGGGTGGGTGGATGGGTGATGTTCGCTACCGGTTCGGGTGAACTGATTTGAACCGGCTGAATACCACATCTGCCAACATACCAGCTGGAAAATTTTGGGAGTTGAAATCCACCTGTTTTAAAGCATGCTGGCTGGGGAATTCTGGGAGTTGAAGTCCACCCATCTTAAAGCATGCTGGCTGCGGAATTCTGGGAGTTGAAGTCCACTTGTCTTAAAGCATGCTGGCTGGGGAATTCTGGGAGTTGAAGTCCACTCGTCTTAAAACATGCTGGCTGCGGAATTCTGGGAGTTGAAGTCCACTTGTCTTAAAGCATGCTGGCTGGGGAATTCTGGGAGTTGAAGTCCACTTGTCTTAAAGCATGCTGACTGGGGAATTCTGGGAGTTGAAGTCCAGTCATCTTAAAGCATGCTGGCTGGGGAATTCTGGGAGTTGAAGTCCACTCGTCTTAAACATGCTGGCTGCGGAATTCTGGGAGTTGAAGTCCACTCGTCTTAAAACATGCTGGCTGCGGAATTCTGGGAGTTGAAGTCCACTTGTCTTAAAGCATGCTGGCTGGGGAATTCTGGGAGTTGAAGTCCACTCGTCTTAAAGCATGCTGACTGGGGAATTCTGGGAGTTGAAGTCCAGTCGTCTTAAAGCATGCTGGCTGGGGAATTCTGGGAGTTGAAGTCCACTCATCTTAAAGCATGTTGGCTGGGGAATTGTGGGAGTTGAAGTCCACCCATCTTAAAGGATGCTGGCTGGGGAATTGTGGGAGTTGAAGTCACCCATCTTAAAGCATGCTGGCTGGGGAATTGTGGGAGTTGAAGTCCACTTGTCTTAAAGCATGCTGGCTGGGGAATTCTGGGAGTTGAAATCTACCCAACTTAAAGGATGCTGGCTGGGGAATTCTGGGAGTTGAAGTCCACAAGGCTTAAAGTTGCCAAGATTGGACACCCTTGCCATCAACCAAAGTTTGTTAAGGCATACCTTCATTGTTCTTCTCTCAAAAATGAATGTAGGGCTCTTTTCATTTTCCTGATGTTGTTTTAATTATACCCGCAAAACACACTTACGCCTGATTCCAAATAGGCAGACTTGAGCAATGCAGTGATTTCATCCTAGCGTGCTGAAAATGAGGATTTTTTTCATTGTTCTCCCAGCTGTTTTCAAGTTCCTCTTTTAAATTAGTAGTTTGCTTCCTGTTCTTCTCTTTGACACATGGTGAGTGTAAAAAGAAACAACCCTGACTTCTCATAGTTCTGAATTCAGCTGTCATCACTGCGAGGAAATGAAACCGATCTGAAACATAAAAATGGCAAAGGATGAGAAAGCCAAAAATCTTTCTACATCTCGCCAGGGGCACGAGCGGTTCTTAATTCATTATGGTTAAGGGAATCCTTGTATATTTGCTTGTTGCATATTTCTCCAGGAACTCAAAGCGGGGAGTCTGTCTTGGACCCCAGCAACAGGTGGTCCTCGACTTACGACCACAGTAGAGACCAGAAAAATCATCATTAAGAGCCGTGATGGCGCAGTGTTTAGAATGCAGTACCACAGGTTACTACTGCCGGCGGCCAGCAATTTGGCAGTTCAATTCTCACCCGCGCAAGGTTGACTCAGCCTTCCATCTTTCCGAGGTTGGTAAAACGAGGACCCAGATTGTTGGGGGCTAAAGGCTGACTCTAAACCGCGTAGAGAAGGGCTGTAAAGTACTGTGAAGCGGTATATAAGTCTAAGGGCTATTGCTATTTTCCTTCCTTCCTTCCTTCCTTCCTTCCTTCCTTCCTTCCTTCCTTCCTTCC